TGTAAAAGTTGACCTACTTATAAAAATCCTCTGATACTTCAACACTATTTTTCTGTGTCACTATGGTAAACTAAGGACAGTACTCATGGTTGTGAAACACTGCAGCACCACACTGGAAGTGTTCAGTCAGGACAGTAGTGCATTTCAAATAAAACCTATAGATGAAATCCTCATTCAAAGTAGAGATGAAATTGAGCAAGAAAAATCCCTTTACAGAACATGTTCATAATGTATGTGTGTCTGTCTCTAGAATGAAAAAAATTACCATTCTGTAAAACACAAAATTTCTTAACTGAGTAAAAACTGTTTGAATAACGTTTAGCAAAAGTTCTGCCACTTTTTCTTATGGTTTCTTGCTAGAGCACTGGGTTTGCTATTTTAGAATCCATCTTGAACTTGCTTTTATGTAAGCAGATGATTTCTGGGTTAGTGCCCTGCTGGTGTGTGCCCTCAGCCATCTTAATCCAGAATGTGCTGGCTTTGTTTTGTCCACCCCAAAAATAATTAATTAATTGTTTAGCCTTCAATTGGAATGTTGCATTTCCAGTCTCCCAGGGAAATGTAGTTATAAATATAATAACTGGCATAATTATTGCAGTGAACTATTACATAGCAGTATACGTAGGGCACGCGCCCTGCAATCTCAAAGCCAGCTCTTAATACTGGGGCTTTCAACAACAATCTGTATCAGCATTTAAGTGCTAACCTACAAGTGCATAAAAGCAAAAAAACATTGTATTTCCAAAATATTTGCCATGGCACAAGTAGGTTTTTAATATTGAGAACTAGTTATTTGCCAGATTTCTTTTTCAAATTATTTTTTAACTAAAGCAGTATGAGACATTCCTCTAGTCATCCTAATCTGTTAGGAAAAATTTTACACTTCTGTGTCCTTACTGCAGACTGGCTGCATGTTTCTTTATTTTGCAATATGGAATGTGGTCAAACTCACTCACCATACTTGTAGTTTTATAAATCAGTTAGTTTATAGAAACAGGCTTGATTTTATTTTCTTCTTTTTTTTTTTTTCTTCCCACCTCCCCCCAGGAGCTTCCTATGTGATCTTAGGTAGATCACTTGAGATCCTATTCAGAGACATACTGAAGTGTTAAATTCCCATGAGTTGATGTCTCCGTGGGTCTGTATTTTAGCCTAATCTTATGTAATATCAGTCTCACAGAGATGTCATTAAGGTAAATATGTTAATGAAATATGCTCATGAGTCTATCAAATGCTGGAATTGTATGAGCAGACAGGCCTGGACTGAGTTGTGCCATAATCTGTGCTCCACACTAACAGTAGTGGAGTAAAATGCTTTAAAAACAGGGAGCGAGAGCTGCATTTGGAAATGCTGAGCCTTCAAATGGTAATTACTGGAAGCAGAGATGTTGCTCTTGGGGTAGCCAGGTTGCTACAACCCCTTTTCAGTCACTGTAGCACAAGTGGAGGGACGACAAGATTTCTTAAATAATTATGCTTTTTTAAAAGGATTTTTAAAAATAATTGGTAGAAGTAATTTACTGGTTCTATTTACATGTCTGGGTTGCTTTGGAGAACTGAACCAAGTTTGTCCATCAGGAATGGTGCCGAGTGGCTCACTGTCAGTGTGGTTCTTGGCATACTCCCTACTAGAGCTATTAACAGTGTTGTAGATGTGCAGAGGGGGTGTATATCTGTGCCCTAACGGAGTTAAAACAAGAATAGGCAACGTGCTAATATTGTCAGGAATAGTCTTGCTTTGGCAGGGAAATAGATTAGACAACCTGATAAGTCTTCCTTTAAAAAAAACCCCACAATTGTTTGAGTCAGTTACAGTACAAGAAATCCTACTTTAAAAAAAAAAGCTAACAGTGCTTTTTTTTTGGTAAGAAATGGGGAAATACAAAGAGATTTCTGCTGGTTTGTTTCCTTCAGTTCTTTGTCATGTATAGGAATGGTGTATTACTTTCTAAATAATTCAGACTCCAGAGGCATTTTTCCAGAGGCGTTATATTGTTAGAGCAGAGTCCATCAGAGCAGCAGCATATGTATATGTCAGGCTTTACCATTTTCATGTATTCAATAAGTAGTAACTTGGGACCAAGCTAGATCCTGATTTTATGGTTTCCTCATATTATGTGCATTGTTGTGTAAGCCAAAACACGTGTGAGGCCTAGGGAGAGAGCCCAGTGCGGCAGAGGTGGACAGGAGCAGGGAACATGCCAGTCATGGTGTCATAGTTGGGAGGAAACTGGAGAGGGTGAACAGTCTAACAAAAAGAGCAACACAAGGATGAGGGGGGTTGTTGGGTTTGGTCTGACCTTCACAGGTTAGAATGAGTAACTGAAATTTGATGGAAACTACAAAAGATTGAGTATATATCAAACTGGTCTGTTTAAGCAGAGGGGAACCATGCCTGTTGTGTTTTAACAGTGCATTCTCTAGACACTTAAAATCTGTCTTGTTGTGCTGAAGTAGTCATCTTTGAACGAGATGTTAGCAATTTTCCTCTTACAGAACATCTGCTTTCTGACTGAATCACTGAACAAGCGGGAGGCTTGTTTGAGCCTGCTGTCCTCTCTGCACTGCTCACTAACTCCTGCCTTGCCGAAGGGTGTGGGCTGGGTTTCATCACAGAGGTGTGAGGCTTAGATTCCCTGGTGTCTGCAGGAGTGTCCTTCGTATTGAAAGGACAGTGGTGTACAAGCAAATTTACTTAGACACTTTTGAATGAAATCTTCACACCTTGTTTTCAAGGATCTAGAACTGAAAGAGCAGAACAGTTTAGATTTACAGGGAAGAAAAAAAAGCAGCAAGATTTTTCTGATACTTTTATCTTCCACAAGTTTTTAAATGACTCATAAATGGGATTCATCTTGTATAACCTTTAAACACAGAGAACAGAGGATGAATTTGGTAAATAATCTGAAAAATCCCCATATAAAAGTAGTTTATCAGCAAAATTACCATGGGGTTTGTTTTCACTGAGAAAGTAGATTTGTTTAATCACCTGCCAAAGTTCTATGCAAATACTACAACCCGAAGCACAAGTATTTCTTATTGGTAGATGTTTGCCTTGGAAGCTTGGTGTTTCGTTGACTGCTGGTGCTGAGCTGATTGATTAGAATTGGTAGGTGATGTTAAGTGATTGTCTGATGTTGAAATATTTCCTTTTCATTTGTAAGATAATTTAAGATCAAATGAAGACATTTTATAAGGCAAACAGTAGGGATGCCTATTTGAGATGGAGCTAAGTACCAAATAACAGGAGTATTTCTAAGAGAGAGGACATAGATACATCTGCTTGAATTTCCTTGTGTGCTGTTTGTGAACTGTGCATTCTCTTTTGGGGAGCACTGAGCCAGTCATGCAAGAGTTAAGGAGTAAATGCAAACAGAAGAGCTAGGTATGTACATCCAGCCTAAGTGCTTTCCTCAAGGGGAAGATGCTTTCTGGCACTGCAGCAGCAGGAGAAGCAAACAACTCATGCCCTGTACCCACCTGGAACGGTGACAGTAATGTTTTAGTCTTTTGAAGTGAACAAGTTTCTATGGCTAGGTAAAAATTCGCCTGTAAAATGGCTTGATTCTGTTGGTGATACGTTATCCCTTTAATTAAATAGCTGACTTACGCTTGACAATTAATTGGAGTGATGTATGATTTTTATTAGAAACCCATGACTAATTTTTTCTTGCCGTTCTTGCTATCTTATTGTTCTTGCCTACCCTCCTCCAAAGTTGCTGCTGTGTGCCAGCCATGTCCTCCAGGCACTGGTGCAGACCAGTGTTCACTCTTGCTTAGGCTTTTACCTGTTCCAGATAAAGCAATTGTTTTCAGATATTTTCCATGCTGTCTCTCAGAAATTTTCCATTTCATCACAGTTCTGCCATTTTTTTTATTGTTGTTTTAGAAGACTTTGGGATTTTTTTTTTAATGTAAAGTTTAAAAAACAAAACAAAAACGTCACCACCACTACCACAACAAAACTCCCCACTGTGTAATACAGTGTTATCTTCATCTGGTGCCACATTTCCTACTTCATTAAAATAACTGCCAGGTTAAAAAAACCCTTCCTGCAGTAGTCTCTGTAGAGTAATCTGCTAGCAAACTCAAGGGAATTTTATATTTAATTACAATAGACAAGATTCAAAATGGTTGTGTTTGGAGACATGTCTATTAAAATCAGAGTGGCAGCAACACAGAACTCAGTTTGCCCCTTATCTTGTTGTCCCTAACTGTAAGAAGCTGAAGTTCAAGCCTTTCTGTAACATTACAAAAAATTGTGATTTGGACAATATCTTACGTTTTTTCCACTTAGAAAGTTTTAGATTTTTTTTAATAGGAAATTTGTTTCCATGGGTGAATTTAGGCATGGATGAGTAGGGAACAATGCATTGTTTGTTAAACCTAACATTTTTGAGGGGAGTGGGCTTAAAAGGAAGAAAATGTGGTTTAGATTTAAGTGTCTTTTGAAATTTCTTCCTCTTCTTTTTTTTTTTTGTCATCCACCCACAAAACTTGAAACGAAAGTTCAGACAACTAAAAGTCCTTAGACTGATGTTTCTACCGTACATATTTTTGAAATATTTGGTATAATCTGGAAAGCCAGAGAGAAAAATTGTCAGTTTAAAAATCATTATCTTGGTTATCCTTTCTTTCCCTTCCCTTCCCTCTCTGGGTTGTTTTCCCTCAAGAACATGCAGCTTTTGTCTCAGGTTTTCTAGTTCATGTGTTTAGCAGGGTTTTATCTAGTCTGTGTCACTGGTGTGTGTAAAAGAATTTGAGCTTTGGTTTATCAAATGTGCTAAATCATTTTACTGAAGGAGGTTCTTGAATTCTCTGGTCCCTGGGTTGATCATTCACAGGGTCGATCTGGAAGGAAGAACCCTCGGCGGGGTGTAGGTGGGGGTGAAGATACCGGAGAGAAACTTAAGGCAGAAGTACGATTTAATTTTGAATTGGCTAGATCTAGACCAGGCAGTTAGCTGGAAATCTCTCTTTCTTTCCCTTTCACTAGAGGTCCTCTGTCAGACAGCTACTCCGTGACAAGTTTCCTTGCTGCTGGGCCAAGAGTGCCTGATGCTGGCTATCATGGCTGATCCTGTAGCAGAAGAACACACCTCCCAAGTTAGTGAACTCTGCTGCGAGTGTGGTCAGTTCCACCTCTTGCTGGACAATCATCTCTACAACTTCCAGGATGAAGTGGACGATGAACTCATCTGCCATATCTGCCTTCAGCCTCTGCTCCAACCTATGGACACCCCCTGTGGACATACGTACTGTTTTAAGTGCCTTGAAAACTTCATGCAGGAGTATAATTTTTGTCCTATGGATCGGAAAAAGCTCTCCTTCCAGCAGTGCCACAAGTCCAGCCTTCTAGTACGAAACCTGTTGGATAAGCTGATTGTCTTCTGTCCTTTCAAGGCAGAGTGTCAGCAGACAATGCAGCGGTGTGAACTAGAAGCTCATCTGCAGAACAGGTGCATTCAAATTTACTTTATATTATTATTCCTTGTATAATGCCATCTCTCTGCTGTGCTTCTGACCAGGAAGATCCATTCTCAGAACAGTTCTTAATCTGGGGCAAAATGGGACACCAGAGGTGACAGAGGGTGAGGCCAGAGAGGTGTGTGGGTGAAGGCAGCGTCATTGTGTGTGTTACAGAGGCCAACTCATGTGCTTCAGAGACGAAGGGTGAGGTGCTTTCCTGCTTGCATGCAAGTTGTCCACAGACACAAAACCTATCAAATGTATATAAATCTGTGTGTCCTGATCTGGGGCACCTGACTCAAAATTATTATAAACATGCTTATTCTTGTTTCACTTGCGCAGAGAAGAAAGACAGGCACAAAGTCAACACTCTGGAAGCAAGGAATCGTGCAGTGTTGCCAGTTTAATTGGTCCAATTAAGACGTGCAATACATAACTCTTTGATCCAAATAATGTAAGTCCCTCCAAGCTGCACATTATGCAGTTGCTGAATCACCTACTTATAATTCCATTATCTTCTCTTATTCTTCTACTAAGAAAGAGAAGCAAATGAAAAATATGGTGGGGTTTTTGTCCTTTTTTCCCCTTGTCTAGAGGAAGAGAGACTTTTTTCTTGTGCTTGTAAGCAGAGATGTATTTTGGTGCTTCCACTGCTGGTTGAGCTGGTGGCTAGCAGAATATTGTAGCTTTAAAAGAAAAGCAGGTGACAAAGAGCTCTTGCCATGACTCTTGAAGAACACTTGGTCCTACCTAGTTAATGATTGCAGGAAAGGGAGCTAAGTACAAGCCCTACTGCAGGCGGAAGCAGACCTTCATTGGCAGTGTTTTGAGAAATGCAACAGGCTTGTTCCCCTTTAGCTGTGTCATAGCTTTTTGTGGCAATGACATGTTTAAAAATAAGTCAACCAGTGTGCAGGGAACAGTTACGCTTATTACAGTTCCAGCCAAGGATGTATCCCTGCAGTTCTTGCTCGACTTTGGTACCCACTGAGCTGAGAGCTGGTGTTACAGCCAGGGGAAGTGAGGGAAGATGCTCTTGTATCCTTTCCCTCAATCTTAGCAGTACTGCTTGCTTGTTATCAGTCAGGGTTGAATGCTTATACTGCAGGGACAGGGCTGCCCAGCTGATCTGTAGCTGGAGCCACGGCCTGTACCAGGGCTTGGCCTTCTTCTCTGCTTTGTAAATCTACCCTGGTATCAGTAAACTTCTGTCGCTTATTAATCGCTTTGGCACAGGAGTTAAACGCACAAGAGGGAGGCACCCTTAAATGTTTACATTAGAGACCTGTCTGGAAACTGTATCAATCTTACACATTTCATATTTCTTTGTATCTTTCTTGGGTAGGGTGTGTTCTAAAAATCGAGGCTCTTTCACCTGGGCTGTAACCATAGTTAGACTGAAAAATGAAGAAAAAGAAAAAAAAAATTATACTGTGATTTGTGTGTTAGTGTTACTTAGTTTTAAGTGAGATTAATTGATAGCAGGAGATTTAAGGGAATAAGCATCTGGCAACTCTTTTTCATGAAGGATTTCTCTGCCCTTTGTAAAATGAATTTGTTTCTTGACATCTTAAGAGGGACATGTGCACAAGTGGATCAATCAGCTTCTGTCTTTAAGTTTCAGCATCATCTTACTGCTTGGAGAATAAATGACTCTGAATGAACCAGAGAAAGGAATACTGGGATGAGATCTATTTAGCCAGAATGTGAATAGTCAAGTTTAATTTGAAAAGTGATTCTGGTAAACACCCAATACTACATGTCTCTGAAAGTGATGCTTTTGCATTCATCATCCTCCTTACCTCCACTTTTTTTATAAGTACTCTTGATAAAAGAGCTTGTTTTTCCTCACTCGTTTTTGCTGAGATAGGCTGGTTTTGGTGTGACTGCATTTTGTTGAATGTGTAATTACTTCTTGAACCTCTGTGTGGGGAGCAGTCAGTGGGATTATAAATTCCTCTAAATTGCTCCCATTCAAGTAGAGCCATCACCTGCATGGACTGGAGGTGGACTGCTGTCTGAGGGTCAGGTATCATTCAGAAGAAGAAAAAAAAACACAAACCAAAAAAAACCCCTAGTTCTGCTTGCATGTTACTGATTTGTTAAAAATGAAGCTTAATTCAAGGCTGAGCTTGAAACTTGAGACACTTCCTTTGCATAAAGATACAGTTCATAGTCATCTGTAAAAGGTCAGAGCTAAGTATTTGCTTGTATTTTAAGAGGTATTGTTTTCTTCACTGAGAGTTTGCCAGGTAAATATTTAGCAAGGGAGACTCCTGTTCCTATTACAGTCTCCTTTTTTTAAAGAATTTGCTTAATTTTGAAAATAATAAAATAACAAGACTGCTCTTAAACTGATCCTAGTACAAGTAGAATCTGAAGGTCAAATGAGAATAAATTTTAGCATCTGTGATACAATCTTTGCAGCTGATGAGATCTTGAACATGCTTCTTCATGTACCTTTGTCAGTCAGAGCTTGCATGTGCTGGGTTGGCCACAAAGGCAAAGACTAGCCACTTAGTCACTGACACTCTCTCTCTCTAGGTGTCCTGGTTTCAAGAAATACAAATCTGAACTACAGCGGAAAAAGAATTCCATTTCCAAAGGGAAGGAAGATCCTCCTACCAAGGTGGAGACGAACACACCCAAGGATCCAGAGGTACCAAGTGGAGGATCGTCACTTGTGGCAGAAAGCTCTGCAGCTGCTGTGGTATCGCTCGGGACTGCAGAGCCTGGACTGGTTAATCCAGCTTTTGAGGAGACTGAAGAAGGTGAGAGTTTGATACAGAAATGTAATTATGTAATTACCTTTTATAATATAAAAATGAGGTAATTATCTCAGGCAATTCAATTTTTAAAGTATCTTCAACACTCTTAGATATCCTCAATGCTATTCAGCCACTAGTAGCCTTTGGAGTAATCTCTTTCCTCAGCTTGTCCTTGAGCAGAAGGGAGATGCATGCATGTGCATCAGGTGTGGCAGGATCTGCTCACAAGCACAAAGCTGTCTGTGTAAAACAATTTGGAGAATCCTTGTTACACTGCAGTGAATATTTGCAGTATTCTTTGCAAACAAAGGCAGTCCCTGTCCATGGGAGCATGCAGCACTTAAAACACTTGCCGAAGCCAAATAATTAGTAATTAGGAAATGTTCCAGCTTCTTAATCTCGTTAAGGAAGTTAAATATACAGTTTCCTGGAGTGGTCAGTGCCTCCCTAAATGTATGGAGCAAATATGTTTTTTATAGCATAACTTTTTTTTTTTGATTAATAGTCAGTTATGAAAGCCTTCCTTATGAAAGTAACCATCTCCACTTCAGTACAGAACTGCTTGTCTCAAACCCTGTTAGAAGACAGCAGCGTGGAAATCTCTGTGCCTCATTTCAAAGTTAGTCTCAATTTCCAAGAGTGCAGGTGCTGGAGCTGGCAACTGCTGTGCCTGTGCCAGAGTTAATACACAGGTCAGTTTACTTCTCTGTTGGCTTTTTCCAAAGTACACCTGGGGCAGGTTTTGCATCTCTGCAGTTCACCTTAACAGGCAGTGTGCTTGGCTTCATTGGAGTGTTGGGCTTGCCTAAATGTTGCAGTGCTGGTAGATTTAATACAGCTTGCTAACAACAACTTTCATCTTCAAAGTGTCTGAGAAGCATTGCTTAGTCTTCAGTATGCTGTAAATAGGTAAACATTACTCCTGTTTTAAAGGGGGATGGGAAAAGAGGAGGAAAGGAAATTAGAGGAGGGAAGTTGCAGTGAGCTGCCTGTGGTAAAGTCACCGCAAGGGCAGACCAGTAATTACAGCTCAGTAGTCCCCTTTTCTAATGGGCATTGTGGAAATTGGCATTTGTTATGTGTGCACTTCTAGTAGGCCAGCTGTCACAGTAGAAAAATAAATCTCTAAATAGTAAGTGAAACATACTGAATGCCCTTTAATAAAACTGAAGAAATAATAATGAAAGACTATAAATTTGCCATAAGCTAGGAGATTGGAAACATTCTGGGGGCCTTTAAGGTTTTTAATCTGACCTATTGTTCCCTCTCCTGATAGCTGCTTTCCCTCCAGAACCACTTTGGAGATGACCTGTCAGTGTTACAAATCCTGTGGTGCTATGTGAAGGAAAATTCTATTACTATGTTGTTTTTCTCTTCAATTTCTACAATCAGACCTTCCTCAGAGAACTAGTCTTGTGGCTGAAACAACCACAATTGAAATTCATCGAGAAGACCCAGAGGAGGAGCTGGGAATGAGGATAGTTGGGGGTAAAGACACCCCTCTAGGAAACATCGTTGTTCAGGAAGTCTTGCGGGATTCTGTCATTGCTGCAGATGGAAGAATAGCACCTGGGGACCATATTCTTGAGGTATGTAACACCCCACTGGTAGTCCCATTGCTTCTTTTGACTTGAGATGAGGGCTGGGGGAGGAGAGTTGTTTAGAAAAACTGGGACAGCTCTACAGCTGAGAGTTTAAAAGCACTGATCAGACTTGTGTGTCAGTCGTGCTGTGTATCTGCTGGGGCCCAGAAGCAGGCTTCTGAGGCTCCTAGCAGTTGTACTCAATACTTACCTTGTATTTTTTTTTATAGCTTTTTGAAATTTAGACCATTTTGGATAAATTAAAAAAGATTTCTATCTGATAAACTTCACCCAGTGGCACCATTTTTCTCCAAAGGACAGTGCTCTAGTTAGGAAGTATTATAATTGCTTGCTCTACTATGTTGCTTAAGCTGCATATTCTCAATGGGCAGGTCCAGAGTTTAAGACCTTACAATTTGAAGTAGGTATCAGATATGTATTGTGAGTATTAAAGAGCACCAACCTCATACCATGCTGACCCACGGCCAGATTCAGTTTCTGGATTAATCACGCTGTGTGGCAGTGGGCTAATCAAGGGGCCAGAAGCTTGTATGCAGCAGTGGAGGCTACATGTGGCCACAACTGTTAGCACCTCCCGGCTATGGCTGCCCCATCATTTGACAAGCCATAAAGACCTACTTACCCTCTTGGACTGTGAACTTCAGTAAGGACTAGCTGTAGCCCCACATGTACAAGTGGCTGGTAGGTTCTCTGAATTGGTTTCTTAGACCAGTAGAGTAACTTCTGTTTTATCCAAGTTGAGTTGTACATGTCTCAGTCTTGGCTGGGCTGTAAATCGGGCAGGTCCCCACGCTTCATAGCCCTATTGGCATCCTAAAAGAAGACTGCACAGTGTCTTTGTGTGACAGCAGACAAAGCAAAAAGTAGCTTCTCAGAGTTACCATGGTAAAACCATGATTAGACTGATGATTCCAGAAGCTTGTACTATGGACCACTCTTCAACTTAAAAGTGAGGATGGGTAGTCTCCAATTTGAGTCTTCTCCAAGTGTGTATCGAATGCTGGAAGTTCAGGGAAAGCAGTTCTGCATTGCCAGGGGATGGATGTAATGATTTAATATTTTGCAGTTTCAAATTTGTTAGTTATGTGAGTTGTCCTGTCTTGTCCCTGTCCTTAACTATTCACCATCAAATATGGTCTAATTTAATTTGCTTTCTTCTGCATTCTTTTTTAGAAAACTTGGCTCTCTAATGTGCATCAGAAGCAGCTGCTTCAGTCACGACATTGCACAGGGAGTTGTACATCCTGTCTCAAACTCTGTGATGTTCCGCACTGTGGACAGTGCCTAAATTAGGTAGGTTCTGATTAGTGACTCTGGTTTGTTTGTCTTTCTAGGTGAATGGCGTCAACATCAGCAGCGTGACTCACTGCCAAGCTGTCTCCTTCCTGCGCCACCCAGGTCCTGTTCTCCACCTCATGGTCCTGCAGGAGAAGGGTTTTTCCAATAAGACTGCACAGCAAGATTCTGCTTCTGCTACAAATCGGGAAGTGATCCATGTTACCTTGATAAAGAGAGACCGATCCGAACCCTTGGGAATCAAACTGATAAGGAAGACAGATGAGGCAGGGATTTTTATTCTAGATCTGTTAGAGGGAGGTTTGGCAGCCAAAAATGGAAAACTGAGTCGGAATGACAGAGTCCTGTCAATAAATGGCCAGGATTTGAGGCAAGGAACACCTGAGGCTGCTGCGCAGATAATCCAGGTAATTTATGACATGGTGAGATTGTATGGCTAATGACTCTGCAGCTGTCTGTGTTGATGGCAGGGCTCCTGCTCTGACCCAAGGGCTAATAGAACACACTAGAGCAAACTGCATTCCCTGAAATATCTCTTTGGGAAAGTGACCTCCCTGCGGATGTGTGGGAAGCACCGCTTCCAAATGAAGATAAACACGAAGAGTGGGAATCCATCGTGAGTCATCACTGACAAGTCTGAAGCGAGGCAGTTGCTCATAGCACTTCAGTTCAGCTCAGGCAACTGGATCTCCTTTGTGGTGTGGTGTTTGGAGCCTCCCTTGCTGAATGGATATTTGTATGCACTGTGTAGATGCATGCAGCAGAGACAAGGAGAGATTAGGTCAACGTCTCATGCTTCAAACAGTCAAACTGAAGGTGTTTGGGAGATGTGATAGGCTGGCAGAACAGAACAGACTGATCTAGAGCCCTCCTCATTGTACCTGTATTTGGGAAGGGAGTCTAAAAAACACCATGAGGCACCTCAGGCTAAAAACATTCTAAAATAGTAAATGGGTAGTAGGGAGGTGGTCTTTCCCTGTACAATAGGTATGCATTTCTGTTGCAGCATGCCCAATGTTTTGGTGAAAGGAGCGGGCAAGGAATTTTGGTTAAGGATTAAGGATTGCTACATGTGCAGCAGATACCATGCGGATCAGTTTAAATTCTTTATCTCCCTAGGCGATGACCTCCAGTTTCTGTTTTTATCTAAAGATCCTGACACAATACATCTCATCACATACTGTTTATATCCCGGAAAGGATCTGAGGTCAGCAGTGAGAGGGAGCCAGTTCTCTTCCTGGTAATCAGCAGAGGAGTGCAGTGGCATGGGAGAAAAGAAGAGGAAGGGCAGAGCTTCAGTACTGAGATTCTTTTTTATGTTATATAAGTGATTCCATTCTATGGCCTCTTAGAATTTTGTTTGCATCCCACAAGTGCTGCTGTATTTCTGTTGTAATGTGTGAACGTAATTCCCATATGGGGAACTCTTCCTTGATCCCACTGAAATTAGTAACCAAAGTCTAAGAACCAGCTTCATTAGGTTTGGGGATTGAATTCCTTTTGAAGTGACATTTGTGTAAAACTTTGACAGTCTTCCAAACATTATCTGTTCTTCTGAGGGCTAATTCAAATGCTTGGTTAAATGTAATTTTAATTTTGATTGCAAATCATTTGCAGAAAAGAGTCCTTCTACCTGTATTGTAAAGTACCATTTACAGCTATATATGGGTGTGTATATATATGCACATACTGTACATAATCTGGTACTCCTGGTTGAAGGGGAGGGCAAATCCCCATTTTAGGATGTGATGTTTATAATATATTTTATAAAGACATGGATGCATGCCGGCTTGTCTGGAAAAAACTGCATTATCTGAAGTGATTTTGGAGGCAAACCCTTTAAATTCTGTTTCAGAAAACAAAACTCTCCTATACGAGTTTAAAAAGAGAATACCCAAACCATCTGATGTAGCCCCTCTTCCAGGGTCTGGGAATTCACTGCTGCCAGGGTGCTGCAGCACCAGAGAAACAGGGTCCCATGTCACAAAGTCAGAGTGGCAACTGTACTTCTCTCCTCCATTGCAGGAAATGCCCCGAGTAAGCACTTACGCCTTACCCCAATGGAGTCCTTCACAATAAGGTTTTGTCAAATTATCTGAAAGAACAAACCAAATTAGAAAAGCAGTAACAATAGTGAATACTTTCCCTGTAATTCTGCCAAGGCCAGACATACAGCTGGTTAAGTGTTTAATTGGCAGCAATCTTAGACAAAAGGTCATGTCGTCAGGTACTCTGGGAATAAATGGGTGGGAGATGTTGAACAATGGATGTGGTACATAAGCTGCGAGGGAAAGAGATTTAACAAGTTTCTTTACAATAAAAGAAAAAGCATCCAGTGCTCGTATCATGGTCATCCATTGTGTGGACCAGTCAGTGTTCAAGCCCCGTTCATTCTGTATCACAACACAACATGCTATTTTGGTTATTTGTACTGAAGTGGAGCAATTAATCATCCCTTTCTACTTTCTCTTGCTTGGCTTCTGTGGGGGAGGGAGGCATGAGTGAAGCCTGTGTTTACTCCTCTTCCTTCTAACGTTTGCTAATTCCTTCTTATTGTGGATTCTGTGGCTCTCCACAATAAAACACTGCATCCTGTTGCATAGTTTTGTTTCAGACCCTTCGTAGAAACTGATGCCAACCCTTCTCCCTCCCCAAGAAAATGACAGGGTTTCTAATTTATTTTTCTATCTGTCTATTTTATTTACACTCTTGTTGTTTCTCCTGGCAGACCACTGAATCAAAAGTGAACTTTGTCATCTTGAGGCAGCCAGGCGTACAGCTGTCGGACACGGTAGAAGATGGCAGCACATCAAATAACAGCAGCAGCAGCAGCAGCAATGGAGGAAGCCCAGTGCACCACCGGAGACGACTGGAGCAGAATCACTATAGACGAAAATCTAACTACCAGAAGGTAAATTTTGTAGATAATGGCACAGGTTATTCTTGTTCTAGCAGATCTATTATGATTCCTCTGTGATGGCAATTTATCATACAAGCCTGATCAGCAGTTCTATTTCTTCTTGAGCTATTAAAAAGCAGCAGGTCTGTGGCTTTTAGTATGGAGAACCATACATTTGTCATCTACTGGGAAACACACTTTTTAGGGGAAAAACATGTCAAAATTTCTTCAGATGTCTCTAATGTTAATGCAGAACCGGTGTTTAATCCTTTTGTGTCAGTAAAGGGCAATGGGAAGTTTACTATGCTTGGGTATGGGTGTTGAGAAGCTTAGGACCTGCTTCTTGACATCCATCAAGCACAACATGTTCACAGTATTGCATCATGACCCTCAGGTGTGCTGCTGGTGTGGAGCTAGAGGGGTTATGGTAAGAGAAACTACATAAATTACACTGTAGTGCTCCTGGGGCTTGAGTGACTTCAGTGTTGCATGTGCCATCCATTTGCATGTTCTAAGAAACAGTATGAGCAAGAGAAGATTCGCTGGTCTGTTGTACAGAGATTTACTGTTTAGAACTTCCATTTGAGTAAGAAAACTTGATACAACTGCTTAGACTTCCGAGTTTAAATGTCTCTGGAGTTCAGTAAGTATCTGTCATAAACGGCTGGAGTGTGGTTCCTTGATTTAAATCCTAGCATATAATTTACATCTTGTTTCTACAGCACATGCTATAATGTGTGCTTTTACTTTTAGTAGTAGTCAGAGAGAGTTTGACTCCTTGATACAAATAGCCTTGAAATTACTTCGTGGCTTGTTCCTCAGTGCAAAATTGTTCTCCTTAGAGTGAGCATCTCTCGACAGCAAATGAATGTGGGATCGCTAGGAGAGCTGTGGTGGTATCACTCTGGAAATACAGGATAGTATTTCTCCCCAGAGCAAGTACCTGAGAAGATGACTTTGCCATCCAGCAACATTGCTGAAATGTTCTGGATTAAAGATAAAAGATGTTATTTTCTTCCAGATGTGTGCTTCTCATGTTAATTGCATTAATGAAGCTACATTTTGTACTGTCATTACTTTGTAGGATTTACCTCAGGGATATGCAAGTCATGAAAAGACAGTTGCAATAAAAAAGGAACCAAAGGAATCGTTAGGAATAACAATTGGAGGTGGAAGGGATAACAAAAACAAGCTCCCTATATATGTAACAAGCGTGCAGCCCATCGGATGCCTCTTCAGGGATGGCAGAATCAAGCGAGGTAAGAAGTCTCTTAGATCCTTGATCCTTTAGGAACTGGGGGTTTTTCACTGAAAGTTGGACTTGGACACTAAAGTGAGGCTGGAAACAGGGTTCCTCATGAGACCTTGAGGGAGCAATAGCCTCCATAGCAAAAGATCTGTAATAATCCTATCTTATTTAATCAACAGGAGATGTACTTCTGAGCATAAATGGCATTGACTTGACTCATCTGAACTACTATGAAGCTGTCTCAGCACTGAAATCTAACGCAGCTTCCCACTCAGTCATACTGAAAGCCTTGGAAATCCTTTCATTGAACTCGACAGAGCCATCTCTGGACATCAAGGAGCAAGGATTCAGCTGGTCTCCCCTCTGGATCACATGGCTTGGATTGCCCAGGTACGTTTGTTCGGTGACTGTATAGAGGTCTGTTCAGTTAGCGAGTTGACTTTCACTCAAACACTAGAATTTAATTGCTTTGGTGGTTGACTTGGAAGCATTATTGGGATTCTCATATAGCTCTAAGGCAGTGAAAAGCCTTGCCAACGAGATCACAGTATAATGAAAGCATGAGAAACTTCTACTGCTTTTTATGGTGTGACCCATCATTCCCCTACTTCTGTTGGACAGTAACTGTATTTCAGAAGTTCCTGAAAACCCTTTTTCCCAAGAGAACTACACAGAAAATAGGAAGTATAGATTTTTGTCATTTGAGGCACTGAGTTGACATACAGTCAACATAGACACAGTCCCTGTTAAAATATATGCTGAAATCACTCTTTTCTGGACCATATAATAGGAGCCAACAGCTACCTATGCTATTTTATAGTTTCTAATCTGATCATCTCGGGGGCAGGCATTCTTTCAGTCTAATTCTTTTTGGCTGCCATGATTGTGTCATCTTTAGCATGAAGCAGAAATGATTCTGAATAGTTGAGTTTTCCTGTTGCAAAGCTTTGGACCATAGACAGCACAGATTTTAGCAACAACATGGTAAATTCCAGCTGACAGGTTTAGGGCTTTGAAAGCTTGAATTTGTCTCCGTCCTGAAGAGGTGAACCTCTGGTTTGCTCACTCTTGCAGTTTCGTAAAAATATATTCAGCTCTGAGAGTGTGTTGTCATTCCAGCTGACTGGAGGAGGATCGTGCGGGAGATGCACGCGGAACAAAGCCAAACCCTTCTGTGGGAAGCCCAGATTATTTACAGCCTTGTTTCTTGAGGCATCTAAAAGAAATACTAACAAAGCCTCTGCTAGGTTACCCTTGTGTTACTTAGTAGCCTGTAAATGCTAAACAAACCAGCCCAAGGAAGGTAGCTTTTGTGTTTCTAGTGACTGTAACTTGGCTTGTACTCAGCACCATCCTACCCACTTCCTCTGCTCTCCCAGGGCATCGGACTGTCTGTTTTTTGCAGGCCCTGAGCTGCACCTGGACAGCCCAAGCCTGAGTTCAAACCCTCAGATGCACATTACACATCTTCCTTTCTCATATGGAAAACTGGTTTCTAGCAATCAGCCTTTTCCAAGTCTTGGAGAATGTCTAATATTTTTCTATGCTGGCACAGTGCCTACCACTGTTGCTCTCTGGGAGACTTACTTGCACTAGCTGCCACATACACTTCTCATAGCGGTGTTTCTACACTTGTGTGGTAGGTACTAGCAGAAGAAAACCATGGAGGCATCAGTAAGCTAGAGCTGGATCTTCCAGCATTTATGTGTGAAGAACTCGTACAAAAGTAAATTACAGTTTGAAAGTAGATAATTGGATATTTCTCCCAGTGTGAAGTTAATGGAGAAGGCTTTTGAAATCTGAAACTCATCTGCAAACTGCTCAAGCAAAGCCCTTCAGGCAAAAACGTTTATTAGGAAAAGTTTAGCTGCTGGAATACCTCAGTGGGGTGATCAGCGGCAGTTTCACACAGTGTAGCTCTGGCAGTGCCTCCGTGCCAGAATGTAACCTGACTGTGAGCCAGCACACACAGCTGCTTGCCTGTGCTCCTGCCACACCTTCTGAGACGCCTCGCAAAGGCTTTGTGTGTCTCTCTGCTACAAACTCAAGGAGCAGGTGCTCTTAGGACTTAAAGATCACCCTCTTCAAGGCAGCCCTAGCACTGCAGCATGCCCCAGCCTTACCAACAGGTACCTCATGGCTGCCGTTCAGAAACAGCGACCCGTGATCTCCCTCTGAGGAGTCCACTGTGCACAGCAATCCTGGGCGCCGTTCCTGCAGCACAGACCTGTCATACTCTGATGTGCTGGTTAGTAGAAGAAAGGCTGCCATACCTCCTATGTTTGCTTTCCATCAGTGATACAGAGCTGCTGAATGCCTTCATTGTACCAAACGTGTAGTATACAGATGGAATAAAAAGAGCTGGAATCTCATTAATTGCATGGGTGTAACTGCTGTTCACAATTAATCTGGTTTTGTCACTTAGTACTGTGCCTGTTCATGAGTAGAATTCAGGAAGTTATTCATGAATCTTTCAGGTCACAAACCCCTTTAGAGAATGGTAATTTTCTGTTAACTCTGCAACTAGCACTGACAATACTGAGAAAAGATTGCTAAAGGACTGTCATCTTCAGATTTGAGAATTATCCTTGTAACATGCCCTGCAAAGGCATTATCTCAAATCCTTAGAAAAAGAAAATAAATATAAGGCTGTTACATAGCTGTGCTTTCTACAAGGGAAAACTAATATTGTTCATGCAGTTTTCCTTGAAACACACTCGTAAGCTTTCTCTGGTTTTGACTGTCCTTGTCTTCACAGCTACCTTCACTGCTGTCAAGATATCGTCCTCAGTAAAGGTAACCTGGAAAGCTGGGGCTTCAGCATTGTTGGAGGCTTTGAGGAAAGCAAAGGAAACCAGCCATTCTTCATCAAAACCATAGTGCCCGGGACTCCTGCCTTCCGAGACAGGAAACTGAAGTATGTACAAGCCACCCTGCGGGTCTCTGGTGTTTGTATCAAAACCACTATCAATACTTGTGTCAGTGTGCACCGTTTTAATGAGGAGCTGTCTGTCTTTCACCCTTTTAGCTAGCTGAGCTAAAAGTTAATGACTTCTAATTCTTAGACACTCCTTTGTGCAGTTAATAGTTAGCACAGTTGTAACAAACTAAGTCCTGTATTAATAAGCGTTTTGATTTTTCTATAAAGGTGCAACTAAAAGGAATTAACAGTTCTGTTTTAAAAGGCTGTAAAGGTTTTGAGTAATTAGATGAAAGTAGAAAGAGGGTGTTTGAGATCAGTCTTGGAGGTTCCAGAGTATAGAATCTCCTGGATTAGGAAAAGCAACCCAGTGAAAGCAACAAGAGCCCTTCTGTGCTGGAAACTGAAGTGGAGCTTTGCTGCCTTGTTTGTCAGTAATCAGGGCGAGTGGAGGAGTGAGTAGTGGAGCTGGAGGACCCCACAGAACTCTTATGGCGTTCTCTCTGGGAAGCAAGAGCTGGCTTCTCAGCACATGTGCAGTGGGCTGCAAGCGCAGTACTGTAAAAGAGAAGTGAGGCTGCTGTCTTGCAGGGGACATCGTTACGGTGTAGGGAGCTGCGCTTTACTCCCTTGAGAATGGTGTGAAAGACCAGAGCTGCGTGAGCCTTGGTGGGAGGACTGGGTCAGATGGGTTGCTAGGTGAGTGCTAGGACAGCCGTGTCTTCCCACCCAGCCAAAGGCTGGCTTCAGCACCTCAGCACCACCACTGTGCCATGGACCGGGTAGGTCAAGTAGGACTCTCAAACCTCAGTTTTATTGAGCTACAATGTGCCAGCTTGCTTCTGCCTCATTGAGCACTTCACCTGAGCAAGTAAGTGCTAGTCAAGTAGCTGTAGGAGTGACCTTGGTGACGAGTGTGTTTATCAGCCAGATTTGTTTTCTATTATCTTTTTCCCTCCCTCTGTTGACTGGCCAGCTGGTCACGCTTTTGGTGACTTTCACTGCTGTGTCACTCAAGTACTAGCAGTGTCCTCCTTTTCCCTTGAGCTCTTTGACTCAAAAGTGAAAATGTTTCAACAAGGAACTGATGGTCTTGTCTTAAGGTGGGCTAGATGACCTTGGGGGTCCTAGGGTGCAGTGTTAATTAATTCATTATTGTTAAGTCCTGACAAGCATGTTTCCTGTCTTCTGATTAGGTGTGGAGATGAAATAGTGGCAGTAAATGGAGTGCCAGCAATAGGAATGAGCAACTCAGAACTAATCCCAATGCTGAAGGAGCAAAGGAACAAAGTCACGCTGACTGTGGTGTCCTGGCCAGGAAGCCTCGTGTGAAAGCTCAAACAAAACCCACAACAGTTTCAGGTATCGGGTAGCAGCTGGCCGTCACCCAAAGCTAAACGTGTCACAGATAAATCAAGGGAATGCTGAACTCCTGCTACACACTCTATCACCATGGAAGACTTTTGCCCTCATTTTTGCAGAGATTATTTCTTTACTGTGCTGAGGTTATCAACAAATCTGGTTCTTGGATTCAAAGTAACAGTTAATGCAAACAGTTGTTGTAGCTTCCTGGGCACATTAAAGTGCTGTAGGATTGGTGTTGCAGAGGAAGCTCTTTTTCTCAGTGTTTCTCTACAAATTGCCTTCGAGGCACTTTCCTCCATTTTAGAGCTCTGCTTTCCATATAAGATTTTGAACAGGTTAAAACAGACATGAGTGTCCTGCTAGTTTAAGACAGTCCTGCTGCTGATCTCTGACTGCAGTTCTTTTGACATTGAGTCATTTTATATGGGCTTTTAAAAGCCACTAATAAAACTGCAAGGATGGGGACCCAATTAAGCAGTTCCTATAGCCCCTAGTCTTGATATTTTCAGGCTACTGAAACCTAATTAAGGTGTTCATACATGAAAAAAAAATTCTCATAGCTGACAGGTGAATTGCTGCTATGTTAGCATGGTGGAGCTGTGGTGACCTGTATGAAGGTCCTACCACCAGCCAGCTATCATGAATCCTGCCAAATATGCCGATTTGTCGTGAATCCTGATTTAAGATTCTGCTGACTACACCAGTTTGACACAAATGGGTGATTTAGAATGCTTAAAAAACTGCCATCAGTGGTATCAGCAAAAGTGGCTTCATTGAAATATGTTGTAGAAGTGCAACTTTGCAGTGAGCAAACCTTGCTCTTTCTTAACAAATTTACTGTACTATAAAGTTACATGTGATGTTGGTCACTTACCAAAGATCTGCTGTGGGTGAAAAGTCTCTCAGCCTTGAGGAGCAGCCATGAGAGGTGTCCCAGCTCTAGGGGAGATCACTGCTGCAGCCAGGCTGCTTACCAGGAAGAGCTCAAAGGCTCTCACATTTATGGAACAGAGTGGCTAGCTTGCAGTAAATTACAAGTGATGGAAAAGATATGCATGGGACTCTTCGTACCCACAACTTTGCAGCATTTACCAGACTACCACTAGTTTGGGTAAGGAGTTGAGTGCATTCATCACAGTAGCCAGAGATAAGGAATTTGCTTAATTTTCATCCTCTTCCTCAACCTGGTTTCCCTGATTTTATGACTTGGCAAAATGTCCAGCTTTTCCTACAGAAGGTAGATGATTAAGTAAACAGGCTTGTTACAAGAAACCTCTGTCCCAGGCTGTTGTCTTATTTTTATCAGTTTCCCAGTGATCAGATGCAGAGTTAAGGCAGGGGGGAGGAGGCTGTCCCTGTACTGTCAGGGAGGTGAGAGGAGCTCCTGCAGTTGTGTTCATGTCTCTCTTGCAGCAGGAGCAAACTCTCACTGCACTGGCTCAGGGTGAGCCTCGTTGGCTGTCTTGGCCATGTTGTACCAACCATAGAAAACGGGCTACCTCCAGGTCAGTGGGCCAGGTCTGGCTTCAGTTCAAATCCACTGCATAGTTAAAATTCAGAATAAAACAACTGAAGCCAAGGCAGGTTGATTTGTGAAGTTCCTACCTGCAAACAATTCCCTCCTTTTTTAGGAGGCTGTTAATCAGCAGTAGAAATAACAGACCGTTCCCAACCAGGTCGCACTGATCAAGATCTTTACTCTTCTGCTGTTTCTGCTGTGTCCTTTATGGGGCCAGCTCAGACTGTAAGACTCAAAGGAGTTTCTCTCCCCTGTAAAAATGCTACCTAGGATGAATGTTTAATTCCCTGCAGGTAAGTGCCCATCATCATTTTAGGGCTGGCTACTTCATAATTAGCTATTACTGCAGAGCAGAATTGCTCCTTGTTACATGACACACTTGTTTGCATACAGAGCGACTTCTCTTCCTTTGGCTGTTAGCTTAAGGCAGTATAGAGCAGGGCCTGTTATCAGAGTCTATTACACAGAAATAGTTTAGAATCCAATCGTCACAAAAGCTTCCCTGGCACACAGTGTGGCCCCTCTGGTTGGTTGATAAATACTGCTGAGGACTTGGACAGCAGGAACACTGTGGCCAGCTGGGCTCTGGGACCTTTTTTTCCTGTTGTTCCTACTGCATGCTGAGAGCAAAATAATTCAAAAGTCAGAAAGCTGCCTGTGGAGAACTGGTCACTCGACCTCTGTCTGACACACAGGAACAGAAAAACCTGAAGCAATTTTTGTCTCTTTCCAATCAATGTGCAGAATCTGTGCCTGGTATGGAACAGTAAATATTTATGTAGATAGAGAGAAGACAATTCCTGCTGAGTAGTACCAAATGTCACTTGTATAAAGTACAGTAGGAAAAAGCCATGCAGCTGGTGGTCAAACAGTTTAAGTGAAGAGGATGCTGCAGAAGGCAGCATGATTTTTACTATTACTCCATTGCGTTTCAAGGTGCCTTCAACTTCATCAAAATGTCCTGGTAATTTATGTATTGTTTCCAAGATCAGCTTGTTCATAGATGTTGAATTTATTTTGATGCCTTTATAAATTATTGTAATATTACTGAAAAACGTGGATTATAGGTGTGGTTTTTTCCAGTGTATCAGTTAATGCCCCCAGAATAGGTCACCTCAACAAGAGACACTTCACCAAGAAACTGACCTTGTGAGGCAGGAGACAAGTGTAATAGTCTTCTGCTGTTCCCAGGAAAGGAGTTGGACTATCCTGTAGCTGTGACTGGAAAAAAACCTGAACAGAAGTAAATCACATGTACCCTTTCCCTCAGCTGTGCCCCTGCTCCTGCCTGCAGCCCACTAGTGCCTTGGGGCTCAGAATTGACTGGACTGTAAAGCCTAACCCAGGGAATAAATAAAGCTTTATTTAATGAGGCTTAACTCCCTGATTCAGTGTGCTGCACAGCTCAGCAACTATGCGGCAAGCCTGGGTCTGATGCTCCCAGAGGACCTGCATGCCCAGGCTGGGGGCTGGCTTAGCTTTTGGTGTGATTGCTGCTGCAGAACAGCCCTGAGGGGAAGGGCAGCCTCCAAGGGTCTGGGAGAAAGACATCATTGCCATCAACAATATGCTGCACCACTATAATGTAGTGAGCTTTTCTCCTCCTTCACGTTGTGTGTGTTTCATACTGTTGGGAGCTGCAGGACCTGCCCCAGTTCCCCAAGCTGCCTTACACCTTCTCTCCACATGAAGCTGGCTGGCACTTGTGTAATAAAGCTTGTGCAAATGCTTCTCGCTGGCTGTGATGCTTGCCCTTGCAGCAATACTCAGCACCTGGGGCATTCTGCACTCAGTAACACACGAGCCCATCTCTCATCTCCAGCTTTGCTCTGGAACAAGTCTTGATGCCACCAGCCCAAGGACTGGCCTCTTTTCTGAGAGCTGTTAAAGTCACCATTCTGTATCTTCAGGGAACATGATCATGAAACCTGCAGTAGTTACCTGATGCAAGTAAAGGTTATTTCCAAAGCCTCAACTTTAGACTTCCCTAATACATTAAAGGCAAACATTTGACCTCTATTTATTTCATAAAAATAAAACCATTTCAAACTATTTTCCTTAAATTCACAGCTGCTTCTGGCAACATAAGCCTGCTAACATCAGTAAAGCACTTGGGTCCATCTGTAAAAACATTCAAAAAACACAAGAGGAAGTTGTAGCACTGCCTTGTCAGTACAAGATGCTCCGTCCCCTCTCCCACACCACCATCAGTAAGTCCAGTGCAGAATGCTGTGGACTGGATGTGATCACCATTGATTACACCTATTTACAGGTTGAATAGCTACTATCACCTTCATAAACAGAGCAAGAGACTGGAGGAGTGGATGTAGAACAGCTCTATCCACCCATGGACAGGCACCACATACACCTTAGCATGCAAAAATGGAAGAAATACGGACTGGGGGCCAAACCCGAGACCTAGCTTAGTGTAAAAGTCTATTGCCAGCATTTCCCCCTGATTCAAGAGAGGCAAAAACCAGCTCAGTCTGGTCTGGGGGCACTGCCTGGCCTTCCCCTTGGTGCCAGCTGCCCTAGCCATTTCAGAGTTCATGTTCTAGGAAAAAAAAAAAAATCAGATTTCAGAATTACAGAATACAGGCTCTTCGTGGAGGCACAGGGAAGATGCTTGGCCCCTCTCCCCCCTGACGCTCCCACATGTGCTGGGCATGGAGGGCAAGGCACACCTGTCGCTGCGCTGCAAACAGGCGTGTTTCCAGGGTGCCTGTACCAAGCACTCCTGCATCCTTCTCACCAGTTCTGGTTTGATTTCTCTTCTGCCCACACCATGCCACAACTGGATAAAAGCAAGTTCACCCCAAGTTCCTGAAAGCCATCAGGTAATCACGGCTGAAACCCACTGCCCTGACCCCACGCCAGTTGGCAAGGCACCGCTGCCTTCGGCTGGTGCCCAACCGGGCAACCACGGAGCCGTGCCCTGTTCCTAAATGCTGCGTCCTACCAGAGCTCTGACAGGGCTGAAGAGGGAGGAAGACTTGAAAGCCTGATCCAGGCTCTGCCCTTGAACTCTGGTTCAGTGCGCACACCTCCCCGCTGCATACACATTTCCCATGATCTCAAAGCATGTTTAAAAAGCTGCATTAAAAACAAAAAACAAACAAAACCCCTCACTTTTTTCTTCTCCCCACAGGATTTGCAGTTAACGACTCATCAAATGCACTGTCATAGCATATAAAATATTATCATAGTGCTACACTGGCTCAAGGCTCTAAGGTTCTAAGCTTCACATGACATTCAGACTCGCAAGATTACAATACAAGAAAAAAGAACATTTCAGGACCGTATTATTTTAGGGAAAAGATTTAAGTCAGTTTTAAATAACAAAGTAGTGAAAATACTTAAAAGAGACTTGTGGACTTACATGAACAGAAATGCAGTATCTTAAGTACTAGACATACCAAACCCCCTCAAAATTAGTTCCCCTGTTCTTCCCACCCAGAACCATCTCTGCTGTCACCCTCTGCAACCAATACTAAGTCCAAACAAACTTTGGAATTTGACTGAATTTATTTTGAGCTCTAGGGGGAAGGAATGCGTTGCACAGGAGTGTTGTGATAACCAAATAGAAATAAGCCAACCCCATGAGGGCAAACTGCTAGATGGGACTTCACATTCTCTACTGAGCTAAATTATTCAGGTCAACTCTTAGTTTAAAAAATAAAAAAAAAAAAAAAAAAGAGTTAGTCAAAACTAAAGAGACATTCATGCTCTTGCTATGAGTCTTCCGTCAATTTCCCACTTAGAGGTGTAATACATGACAGAACTATTTTTGCAATGGAGGAAAAAAAAAAAAGCTAGGTTTAAAGTCTTTGCACACCCTGTGTACACACACACAACACTTCTCAAAGCTGTCAGACCAAAGCAGGATCTTGTGACCCACCAGTAAAAGCAGTTCTTCCTCACATGCTGCCCGGCTGGCCACAGAGAAATCAGCAGATATTTTCGTAGCTATAAAGAAATTTATTCGGGGATGAGACTTTTCACTACTAGAAGCCAGACTCTAAGCTGGCTCTCAGGGTCTAAATCACACTTTTCTTTGGACAATAAATTTCAAGTTGCACTTACTGTCCTAGTTTTCAAAAAGGAATGATGATGACAAAAAATAAACAAAAACTATTACCTAAATGCGTTAGTTTTAGCTGAAGCCATCTTCCATCAGAAACCATAGGATCTGATACAACAAAGTTCTCCCTAGGGATGTTTATGAGTAGAGTAGCTCAGTGCTTTGTATACTAGTACTGCTGTATTTTGTCTTGTATCAAAAAAAAAAAAAAAAAAAAACGCATGTGCAGCCTCAGCTCTCAAACCACTGCAACATGCTTCACTGCTCACCCAGAGTCAGCCTCTCTTCTCTTGGGGGGGAGGAAAAAAAAAAAATTAAAAAAAAAATCAACCCCCCAAACCAAAACATCACCAATGCCACGCTGGTTCAAAAGGAGCAAGTTCCTCCTGAGAGCTGACAGTGGGCCTGAGTCACTCCTTGGCATCCTGCTCCTCTCCCTCCTGGGCGCCATCTTCACTGGCCTCCTTCTCCTCTTTGCTACGCTTGTTCTTTTTGTGCTTGTGACGCCGATGACTCTCCCCTTCCTCACTCTCATGTTGCTTGCTGTGGTGGGGAAGAAAGGGGAGAAGAAATTACATCAGAGTCTGCATCAGCACAGCTCCACCACAGAAGAGACCCAAATGCAGCATGCACGGGGACAGGGCGCTTTGATCTCAAATAAACAGGAGACATATCAGAAGTGCTGAGGGCATCATGGTGCCACTGAAAGGCTCCGTCGTGTTTATTTGGGACGATCTGATATCACATGCGGCTGAACCGAGGGCAGGTTACGCAAACTGCTGGAGATGGTGCTTTACACCACACGCTGCATCAGCACACAGTCTAGGCAGGCAACACAGTATAGAATCAGAGAGTCACAGAGGCTTTGGGATGGAAGGAACCATAAAGATCACCTAGTTCCACCCCCCCTGCCATGGGCAAGGACACCTTCCACCAGCCCAGGTTGCTCCAAGCCCCGTCCAACCTGGCCTTGAACCCTGCCAGGGAGGGGGCAGCCACAGCTGCTCTGGGCAACCTGTGCCAGGGCCTCACCACCCTCACAGGGAAGGATTTCTTCCTTATATCTAATCTAAATCTGCCCTCTGTCAGTGTAAAACCGTTACCCCTCATCCTATCCCTACACTCCCTGTTCAAGAGTCCCTCCCCACCTTTCTTGTAGCCCCTTTAAGCACTGGGAGGCCACTATAAGCTCTCCCCAGAGCCTTCTCTTCTCCAGCTGAACACCCCCAACTCTCTCAGCCTGTCCTTACAGGGGAGGTGCTCCAGCCCCTGATCATCTCTGTGGCTTCCTCTGGATCTGCTTGAGCAGGTCCATGTACTTCTGATGTTGGTGCCCCCAGAGCTGGACACAGCACTGCAGGGGAGGTCTCACAAGAGCAGAGGGAGAGAATCCCCTCCCTTGCCCTGCTGCCCACCCTGCTCTGGATGCAGCCCAGGACACGGGTGGCTTTCTGGGCTGTGAGCGCACACTGCTGGCTCACAGTCAGTTTTCCATCCACCAATACCCCCAAGTCCTTCTCCACAGCGCTGCTCTCAATCCACTCCTTGCCCAGCCTGGATCTGTGCTTGGGATTGCCCCGACCCATGGGCAGGACCTTGCCCTTGGGCTTGTTGAACTCCAAAAGGTTTGCACAGTCCCACCTCTCCAGCCTGTCCAGGTCCCTGTGGATGGCCCGTCCCTTCCCTCTAGCGTGTGACCGCACCACACAGCTTGGTGTAGTCATGAACTTGCTGAGGGTGCCTCGACCCCACTGTCCGTGTCACCAACAAAGATGTTAAACAGCACTGGTCCTAACACCAGCCCCTGAGGAACGGCACTCATCACTGCTCTCCACTTGGACATCAAGCCATAGTGGACAGACTGCTATCAGAATAATTTCTGGATAGTTTTCAGAAGCAGTATCTCTTGTCTTTCCTACTCCTAAGGGAGCTGTAACAATTTTGACACATCTCAAGCTTCACTGTGAAGCACTGAGGCTGCTGAGAGAAACCAGAGTCCTAATCTGAGAGGTGTTTGAAACTTTCACTCCTCTGAACTTCCTGGGGAAATCCTTGGGACTAGAGGTAAGAAACGGATCAATGTAGCTAGAGAACATCCCTAATGGGATACAGATCCTGTTGCTACTTCTGCTTACACATAAATGACCTGGCACTAGCTTTGTGCTTTAAAACTCCTCTATCTCCTAACCAGAACTGTTTTCCAGATGCAGCTGGATAGCTGTGGACATTCATACAGGTTGTCTGTGATGTGGGAGAAATCCCAGCCAGAAGTAACTCTGACTAAGTTGTGCATGGCTCCGAGCCCAGCGCTGCTGACCACAGCCAGCTGCACCACGTGCCTGACAACCCCCACGTCCCAAGATCAGCCTCTGTCTCCATCAGGGAAAGTGGGAAGTTGGGAGCTCTGGTTTTGCCCACTCTGGTTCTTAGCCCCTCCTGGGAGGAGAGTTTCTGCTGCTTCTCAAACATGCAATTATTTCTCCTCACAGGTTGAAAACCAAGTGAGCTCTCCAGAGCTGATCTTGGTGTGAAGGTGGCAGAATTAAAACAGAGCACAGAGTACAGGAAAAAGCAGATAAATTTGTCACAGGAAGATGTATGGCTACACAGTACAGACACATAGCCCCACAAGTGGGGAGAGTCAGGTGTAGAGACAAATTCTTACCATGGCTTGAATACCAGTCTAGCAGCAGAGACACCTAACTGGCTGAACCACTGAAGCCCTGGCTGAAAAGCTCCCAGCTTCAGGTAATTTTCTGACTTGTTTAATAAATGGTTTCATAGTCATTAAAATGGGGTAAAACAAAGATTAAAAAAGGCTCCTGCCTCTCCTCAACACATCTTCAGCCACCTTGTGGAGAGCAACATGACAGTGGTTTATGCTTGAACAATGTGACTGTCCTTTAATATTTAAACAAGCATCAGCAATTTCCTTCAGACTGGTCAATTTGCAGTAAACTGAAAACTACAACAAAACCCTTTCATCTTCCTGCAAATGCCTTAAACAGGCTCAAATCTCAAAGTGCCTCAAGCAGGGACCCTGATATGCACTTGAAATGCCCTTAAATAAAATATTCCTCCATTTGCCTTAGGTAACAAACACTCCCCATCCTACCACTTTGAGCAAGACAGAGCATCTGTGTGTGGTTTGAGGAGCTGAGGAGAAGTCCCCTCATTCCCAGCTCATGCTACAGCCCTGTTCTGTAAATTGAGATCTCAAGCAGATTCTGACACTGATGTGGTGAATTCCATCCTGTTCAGGCAGTCAGGTATCTCACACTAGATTTCAACTCTGAGCAGAGGAAGCTGAGAAATAACCCTTAAAGCTCTTGGCTCATTAGTCTAGTATCAGCTCAGCTTCAATTTGCTTTGTATCCAATTTTGATTACAGTCCTTTCCAAGCCTTTAGCAGTCAGTCCTTCCTTGAAAACTTATTCATCTCCTTAAGGATAAGAACAGCCTTTTGCCTCCAGTCACTATGTAAGAGTTTTTCTGATACAAATTTCAAAATAAGGGTAATTACCAACAGAGCTGATATTAATTTCATCTAAAAGAAGGAAGTTGAAGCACAAAAAATAAAGAGCAAGTCTGCTCAAGTCACTACCAGGATGTGAGCTGACACACCAACAGAGCATTGCCTCACACCAGAGACCAGACTTTGCTAGAAGAATGTTCTCACAGGAAGATCATCTGTAGGAAATACATTTTTTCCAGAAAAGCTGGGATTTTAAGACATCCCGCTCTGCTCCAAAAGTGTTTCACCTTTGTCCAGATCATCACTGAGCTCACTATCAGAAGCACGGGGTGCAGAGCCCTGACCATACAGTGCTCAGCCTCCTGCTCCAAGAGGTAATTTCCAATTCCAGGCTGAAGCAAGCTCTTCTCTTCTGCATGAGAACACGAACTACTGAAAGCTGACACTTCTGTTATGGCTTTGAATTTACTTTGTGTGTCCTTTCTAACAGTGGGAGCTATGCTGTTCAGATGTGATGTTTAGCCCAGGTTAACCTCTCCTTTGTCAACCAGTGCCGCCATTTTGTTGGCAGTGATTCGACATCCTGCCAGCTGCCTTACTGAGAAGGTACAAGCACCAAGGTCTCCTCTCCCTGTTACAGACAGCTCTGCCTCCTGCCCAGGTACATGTGCGAGACTGCTTCCTCTTGCCTGGGCATCATGTCTCAGGATGTTGGCAGGTCACAGGAAGCCAGCATGACCCAGGGTGACAGGTCACTCTGAGAGCATCAGACTTCTTATCTGCTGCTAAGGTGTGTTCCCATCAACAGCCCAGTTCAACCTCAGCCAGTTCTTACCGTCTTGAAGACTTATGCTTGCTGCTCTCCTCTTTGTCTCTGTGCCTGCGCTCTCGGTGACGATCTTCTCGCTCCCTGCTGCGATCTCGACTCCGGCGGTAGTCACGCTCAAAGTCATAGCTGCGCTCTCGGCTGTAGTAGCGGTATCGTTCATCATCACTTAAGAAATGAAAGAAGAAGTGAGGCAGAGGAACACACCACCCATGGACTTGAAAGTCAGGAGCCATGTTTACAGGACTGTAGAATCCCATCCTCACCAACAAAATCTGTCACCTCTTACTCTACCAACAGGCTGAGGTATTTGTTGTGATGCTTCTGAAAAAAACCTGTAACAATAAGCTGCTGCTGATTACTGAACCCAAGCTGCAACCCAATCCCAGTTTCTAACCACAGTGAAATAACTTTCTCCCTTTGCTTATTGCCTAGCTCATAAGCCCAAACAGTTGAGTATCATGGCTTTCTTCTGGCCTCTCAAGGCAAAGGATTTACAAAATTTTTTCTCTAGATTTGCCAAGGGAGTACCTTAGCAGCAGGCACGCAGCCAACATCTCACGGCTTTTGCCCTCACAATCCTTCTGGAATATGTCCAAGACATTTAGCTACCCTGTTCAAAAAAACCAGAAACATGCTCCTCTAACCATTCTGCTTCCCATGGTGCTGGATTTTACCTCACAACACTATTGACCCAGATAACCTGTAATTCTTTTGTGAGTTAGACTAAGGGACTATTTTATTCCCTGTGAGTTAAAAAATGCAAATTGTGAGTATAACTGATGTGGTCTTTCTGCCTGTACCTATCCACCTGCTCAAGGCACCTCATTCAATCCACGTATAGGAGTGTGCATGATGTACCCCAAATTGAGATACATCCCATACTCCCCTTCCTTCTACATCTCATAGTTCTCATGCAAATTCTAAAAGCCAAAATCTAGAGGGTTGACAAATCCCACTGTGGGAAACAATATTCAGGCTGTGAGTGAAAGGAGGTTTGAAATATTATGCTAACACTCACAGAAATAAGCTAGAGAAATAAATGTCCAGTATCAATCACCTGGGAGTGCTCCAAAGGACTCCACTGCACACGGTTAACCTGTCCTGCTTTGGCAAACATGATCTTAGAGGTCAGCATGCTCAAAAGCACCCAGAAATGCTAACAATGTGCTCAGGAGTGCTGATCACAGGACTTAGTTGTGGCATGAACCTGCTCAAGAAGTGTGGGAGTCTGAGCTCTTCAAACTGTAGCACATTTGTGTCTGTTCCATTCCTCCTCTTTGCACCCACAGTGCCCACAAGCTTGTAACGGGAAAAGAAGAGGGGGAAAAAAAAGTGTTGCCCTACTTGCTCACCCCCTGGGCCATGAAGTTCCCTGGCAGGCAGCACCTCTCTGCCAGAAATGCACATTCTGATCATGTTCTGAATTACTATTGCTATTTCTGAGCCTGAAGCTTGCAAAACACTGACACTGCCTGTGACAGAACAAAAAAGTGATGAGTGTAGAAAGAGGCTTTGCAGCCTAGCCTTCATTTTAGCTCTCCAGACCAGCACTGGGAGGCTGAAAGTCTCCTTTCCCCAAGTACTCCCAGTACTGCCTTGCCAGAGATCACATCAGCTCTCACCAAGGTGGGTGGTTGTCTCCCGTGCTGCTTGTAGAAACACCTGGTTAAGGATTAACATTTCATGGTTGACTCCTGGTGAACAGCACTCCTTGGCCCTGAAAGCCTCTACAGGAGAACTGAGTAAAGCATGGGTGGTTTTTCCTTTGATCTAACAGTTACATTTAGAAAACAAGAAGCAGCAGCTTCTATGGCCAGTGTTTCACACAGAAATGTGAAATATCTAGTAAAGAAAGAGGGGCTATGTCATCTACTGGCCTCACATTACAGGTGGGAGAGCAAGCCTAACTGGTTCTGCTGGATTTAAACAAAACACAGACACAGGAAATCAGCCAATGACATTGGCTCCTAGTCTGTCCTCTAGTGATTGATCCAAAGTATCTCTTTCCCAGACATTTCAGAAAATTACAAAACTGGTATAAATCTGTAATCCCAGACCCTGACCTTCTTGTGCTCCAGAGCAAGGCCAGAGCTTCGTATTGGGAAGCACTCACTTGTTGTATTCGCTAGTGGTAGGAGTGCGGTCTCTGTCCCTCTCCCTCTCCCTCTCCCGTTCCCGCTCACGCTCCCTCTCACGTCTCGAGCCGGAGTATTCCCAATGGCTGCTGCTGGAACTGCTTGTGCCTTTGTCCACTGTCGTCACCCAGGGTGTGTGGGATGTGGAGATGGGTGGGTAGCTGATGAAACCTGAATCTGCAGTGAGAGAGCAGAATCCTTGTACATCTGAAGCATTAACAGCAGCCTCTCTGTCCCTCCCTTTCCAAAGACACCCTCTGGAGATACAGCTGAATCCAAGGAGACCACAAGGGCCCAGCTTCAGCCTGGCCCCACTCTCTTTTTACTTTCAGGAGTTTGCCAAGAACATGTGAACACCTTTTCCCTGAGGAAGACGCATGCAAGACCAGGTATTTACAGATGTTGCTGAAAAATCTCTGCAGCCCCTTACACAACACATTACTGCGTGGACTATGCATTCCCCCAACTCCTGCTCTCTGTAGGACCTGCTATATACAGGGCAGGCTACAAGGTCTCCACTGAGAAAAGTTTCAATCCACCCCTCCCAGACATCCTGACTTAGAAGGCCAAGGTGCCTGCGATGCTGAGACACCCTCTCCTGCTGCTGGGCCAGCTGAGCTTAGTCAGCCCTAGGCTCACACTTACAAGGTCTCACTTGTCACCAGGTACCTTCTCACCTAAGAGGTGGCACCTGGGGAGGGCCAGAGGCACCAGCCAGTAATGAAGGATGCCACCTGATGAGCTACCAGTGCTTCCCCATCCAGACACTGGCCTGCTGGGGCCTGCTCAGCTGGACCAGTGAGGTCATACCCCAAAGCAGAACCAGCTGCTGAAAAACTGCACATACAACAGTGCTTCAGGCTCCCGTTTCTTGGCAAGGCCTCACACTGCCCACTCTTCCAACCATCTCCTGCAGAGGTGACAGTGTGGTGCCGCCTGTGACCCAGCTCAGCACAGCCAGGAGGTGCCAATCCAAGTGCTGGTCACTAAGGAAATGAGAGTGATCATGGGCATTGCTGGCAGGGCTGCAACAGGGAAGGAAATCCACCGAATTTCTGGCACTGCCTCTTCTGTTACAAAACAAAGAGACAGATGTCTGCATATGCCTGTAGGCAAAGAAGATGATAAAGTTGGAGAGGAGGGCATTGGAGAGCTCAGGGAGGAGATGCAAAGCTGAAAGTGGGGGAAGAGTGTGAGCAAGTGTGTGTGCCAACAAGCACAAGAGCGTGTTGCTGAGGCACACGGGGAAGCTCCTCTGTTGCTGGGAACCTGCATTGAAAACAGTGATCTGAGGCTTAGCATGCCACTACAAAATTGCATTCACCACTGCTGCAAAACATTCCGTTTTCCAAACACCTTATGGTGTAGTCAAACTCAGCACATGTGTCTAGTGACTGGGATGGTTTGCGGCACAAGCAAGACCATAAAGTTAATTCAAGCATGATGTCCATCAGCTTAAGAAAAGCCTAAACTACCAAATACCTGAGAACAGATATAAGCAGTTTGACAGTTTGTTATCCTCAGTGCTCACCTGCAGAGTTGTAACCAAATGGAGGAGGCTGCCTGTTATTGTAGCTGGCTGGTTGGCTTTGGAGAGAGAGAAAAGGATGCAAGTTACTAACATCAGTGACCCCTTGCAGGTATGTCTGTGCTGCAAGTTTACCCGATTTTTTTCTGAAGGTATGTACAACATCCTCATGGGAAACCGTCATTTCAGTGGATCTCCTTCACTTTACACTGCAACCTATCAGAAATGCATAAAGCTGAAGTTGCTTTGCCACAGCTTCTGAGACAGCTGTAACTAAAGTGCTTGTCCTGCTTTATCCCTCCTTTCGGTATATCAGGCAGGCTACCTGGGCAATACAAAGTACCTGGACAACCTTTACAGAAAATATTTGGAGTAATGTAACATTCTATCAGCTACTTTGAACTAGACCAAAGCACATGCCTAGATTCTATTGACTTCTTCCTGTGTCATGAATGACACATCATAATAAACGCACAAGGGATTCACAGAATGGTTTGGGATGGAAGGAACCATAAAGATCACCTAGTTCCACCCCCCTGACATGGGCAGGGACACCTTCCACTAGCCCAGGTTGCTCCAAGCCCCGTCCAACCTGGCCTTGGACACTGCCAGGGAGGGGGCAGCCACAGCTTCTCTGGGCAACCTGTGCCAGGGCCTCACCACCCTCACAGGGAAGGATTTCTTCCTTATATCTAATCTAAATCTGCCCTCTGTCAGTGTAAACTATTACCTCTCATCCTATCCCTACACTCCCTGATAGAGTGTCCCATCTTTCCTGTAGGCCCCCTTTAAGTACTGGAAGGCCACTATAAGGTCTCCCTGGAGCCTTCTCTTCTGAACAACCCTAACTCTCTCAGCCTGTCCATAGAAGGGAGGTGATCCAGCCCCTGATCATCTCTGTGGCTTCCTCTGGATCTGCTTGATCAGGTCCATGTACTTCTGATGTTGGGGGCCCCAGAGCTGGACACAGCACTGCAGGGGGGGTCTCACAAGAGCAGAGGGAGAGAATCCCCTTCCTTGCCCTGCTGGCCACACTGCTCTGGATGCAGCCCAGGACACGGTTGGCTTTCTGGGCTGTGAGCGCACACTGCTGGCTCACAGTCAGTTTTCCATCCACCAATACCCCCAAGTCCTTCTCCACAGCGCTGCTCTCAATCCACTCCTTGCCCAGCCTGGATCTGTGCTTGGGATTGCCCCGACCCATGGGCAGGACCTTGCCCTTGGGCTTGTTGAACTCCAAAAGGTTTGCACGGTCCCGCCTTTCCAGCCTGTCCAGGTCCCTGTGGATGGCCGATCCCTTCCCTCTAGCGTGTGACCGCACCACACAGCTTGGTGTAGTCATGAACTTGCTGAGGGTGCCTCGACCCCACTGTCCGTGTCACCAACAAAGATGTTAAACAGCACTGGTCCTAACACCAGCCCCTGAGGAATGGCACTTGAACATCGAGCTGTTGACTGCAACGCTCTGAGCGCAACTATCCAGCCATTCCCTACAGACGCTGCTCTCACCCCTCACCCCGATCCAAGACTAGACTAAGAACTACTGTCATTAATTTTAGACCTATTCTCCTCCCCCACTCCCTACAGAGGAGCTGTACCAACGGCTCAGGCCAGGTGTGGTCTTACCCATCCAAGGTTGGAATGAGGAGCGCTGGTGGTGGTGCCAGAGGAGGCGGGAACAACCCTAGAGACAGAAGCGCAAGTCATCACAAAGATCTCACAGTTTGCCATGAGGGAACAAGACTTCATTGCTCTTTACATTTAAACGCACTTAAAGCACCTTTTTACTCCAAACAAGGCCCTCTTTGAAATGGAATAATTTTCCTTCAGGGTTGTATCTCCTACCAAAGCCCTACAGCAGTGTTAGTTCTGTAGGGGTATAGGAAGAAAAATAAAGGAAGAACTACCTTCTATCTTGGCTTATTCATTTTAAATGCAAAATTTATTAAGTAGTAAACGTTAACCCTTACCATTATGTGGAAGACAAAGAAAGCCCGGTTCTTGGGACACAGACACATTGCAACTACAGCAAAGGTTTTATTGCTACATTAATTAAAATGAGGAACTTTGTCTCTTACAAAGTACGTAACAGAATTTACCTGGTTTTGTTTGTTTTTGAAGAAAGTCAATTTTCTGAGCACATATACATGTAAAAATCATGAAAAGACATAGCACCAACGATGCAGAGAGTTGTCTGAAAGGTCTGACACTTTAAAATGGGCCCAATGTCAAACACATAAAGAGTTATTATACAAAAAATCACAAGGCAGTATCTTCAAGAAGGCAGAATTAAGCATAAGTTTATGAAGGCCACTTCTAAAAGTGACATAAGCTTGAAAGCCAAAGTCTTCAACCTTAATCAATTTGAAATCGAGAGGGACGTGCTGACTGCTCTTAAGGGAACTTCTCAAACTTGTCTCCACAGCTACAGGAAACTATTATTTCTATAGGCAATTACTAATGCCAACAAGAACAGACTAACCACCCATTGGGTTGACTTTGCATAAAAAGTCCTCTGTTTATTATTAAACAAAGAAGAGAGCAAACTGTACTTGTACAAAGGCTCGGAGTCATCTGACTAACTGCTGTCATTTACATTGAAGCTAGCAGCTCCAGGTTCCTTTTCAAGTCAATGGAGACTGAGCCAACATAGTCAATGAAACTATGGGACAATTCATCGCCTTTTACTGTGAACACCTAAAATGGGTCAGGAGAACTCTCCCTAGAAGCATCTCCCTGTAAAAAGAGGTAGCCTGAAGTCTCCACCTAACTTAGCAGAGATCTATGCTGCAAACAAGATGGGGGGCACATTTCGCTTTCAGATGCTTCCCTCCCCCCCCTCCTTTTGTTAAGATCTTCCAACAAAATGCAATGCCTAGAGCATTTCAATCACACATGCTCACCAAGTGCAAGTACTTCAAAGTACTACTGTTACAAGGAACTAACTCTAGTGGTGGTGGATCATCATCATCACCACCATAATTAGCAGGTATTCTCCCTTTCCAATCCAGTTACCTGAAGTGGAAGTTCTTTGCCACAGCCTGGCCATTTCAGAGACCTCACCCTTCCCAAACAACTTTAATCTAAATGCACTTGACTAGCAACTGGGTGCTGCAATGTCTACAGTCAAGACCAATTTGCATCCAGTTTCACTACAATATAGTTCTTTTAAATCCAAGCTTATTATGAGCAGGTTCCTTCTAGTACAACAATGAAAACCAGCTCTGTAGTATTAATGTACATTGAAATGAGTAAGAAAATTGACATTTTACAAATACAGGAATTTTCTCAGTACGAGGGACAACCCAGTTAGTGTAGTTTTCCATATTTCCACTTGGGAAGCCCAGGGCAGAGCATGAGTACAAAAGCACGGACACAAAAGCTGCCAATCAAGTCCAACATGTCTGACACATAGTGAGGACAAGCACATCAAGTCCAAAGTCCTTTGGGTGCAGACCTTTTCCAAGTACATGAATCAAATGTAATACAGAGGGAACAGCCTGACTGCATACACCCAGTCACCATCAGCCTTGGATTTTCAGATGTATGGCATCCCCTCAGAACTATCACTTCGAATGGACAAACAGCTAAATTTGTTTTTCCAGTAGAAAAAAACCCAAACATTACAACTAGAGGAAACTTAGTTTTATAGTAGCTCTGAATTAGTGGGGTTCTTAACTTAAGCACAAGGTTAGTTGTTACATTTTTTTATTAGTATTCACCATCTCTTCTACACACCGGGGAGCAGAGGCTTCTGATGGAAATTGCATTTGTTCTGCTCAGTTTCAAACTCCAAATTCCTATACAACGCAGCAATGTGTCAGACTTTTGCTGTGCAAATGCCATAACAAGAACTAAACCATTTCAAATCTAAGTGGCTTTTGCCATCTGAAGTTCTCCATTTCACTTTCTAGATTGGTCTTCAGAAAAAACAAGAGAGTATTAAGAAGCCTTACAGATTATTATTTAGGTCCAGAATATGATAAGCAGCTGGAGTTCAAGGCTGCATTGGAGTTTATTAGCATTAAATTAATTGTTCTTTAAAATGAGTCTTGGCATCATCCTAATTAATGCTCAGACAGGGCCATTGGTGTGTTCAGAATCACTGCTGTTATTAAGAGCAAGTTAACACCTACCTGGAATAGGACCGGGTGGCGGTAGACCTATGGAAATAAACAAGCAAGCAAAACAAGTGAGGACAAGTAAAACACCTCATCTCTGTACCTCAAGATAAACCTAAAAGCACACCTTGAATAATTTTCACATATTTGAGCAAACAGACCAGTAGAAAAAATGGTGCTGCTAAGCAGTAACTAGCCTACAAACTATATTATTTTCCCAAATGATGATCTCTTTATAATTTTAAATGTTGCTGCTCTCTTCACTGGAGAATTCCTTTTTCCAAGTGTTAACACACAACTGATTTGGCCTTCAGAACAACTGAAGAAGCTGGAGAGGAGAAACTGCTGCAGATGTCAGTGTGTTCTTTTGCTTGCTTGTTACTGTTTGTTGTTTGGTTGTTGTGGTTTTGGTTTTTTTTTTTTAATTCAATCACAACTGCATATTGAAATCTGACAACCTGGTTGATAACCAAAAGAAAGAATGAACAATTTATCTTGATTTTGCCAATCATTTTAATGAAAGGCAGTAGGAAAAGCTACCATGGTCCACCAGTGAGTACTGCAGTTATAATCCTCCTCAGATTAAAAGATTTTACTGTATTTTTTGTTCTGTATCTTCTGAATGTGGAGCCAGTGCAAAATATAAGAGTTACTGCACAACATGCTCCTAGTGACTCCTCAGAAGTCCTGCTGCTGGTTTCACAAGGAAAGCCTGAGTACAACCTTCCCTTCAACCTCAATGCACTGTTTAAGGCAGAAGCAACAGGGGCACAGATATGACTCAAACTGGATCAGAAGATGCACAGATTCCATAGGAACTGAGCATGGGAAAATGTGTCTTAGGCAGTGGCCAGTATGTTTGTAAACTTGCACTGAAAAGGGTCAACAGAAAAGCAACTGTCCCCTGGAAAATGCTGCATGAGTATGCTTATTTGGCCTTTTCAGTTGCAAAGTTCATTGTTCTCTCCACTAGTATTGCTCTATTTTTCCTGGTACCCAGAAAGAGTACTCCTGGTATCCACATTGCAGATGCATTAAGAAACTGGAAACCGAGTTATTACATGCACAGAAGAGACAGTGAAACTGTTCTGTACTACGGTGCTCGGGACAACAAAGTATACAAAAGTTAGAAATTTTACCTATGCTATCTCAATAGGCTTAAGGACTCACTCTGTAACTGCAGGGGCAAAGGGCACTCCTGCAGACACAGGACTTATCTCGACAGTGTCTTCTCAAGTGTCAAGTGCTCTTAGCACAGTACAAACCTATCTGGTTATTGGTAAGAGCACACGAATTTGCCAGTGGTGAGGACCGACCACACCCAATGGGCTAGAAACCAGTAGTAAAGACCTCATTTATATTATTTATATTTTGCTTTTAAAATGAAGCACTGTTCCAGTGTCTGCACTGGACATTAGACTCTTGTAGCAGTAAGAATCATCCGGCAGTGACAGCTGGTACAATAAAACGCATAGAAACAAATACAGAAAGATACAAATCTTGGTATCTCAAGGCATAAACCAACCAAGAACTGACCTGGATTAGGAGGAAAGCTGTTTGTTAGAGCTGCTGTTGCAGAATTGCCAGTTCCAGCATCACCGTTGAAATGTCTGGAATTGGTCACAGCCAGATAGGATCCTGAACTAAACAGCCTGATGATCTGACACAGGATAGCCATTCTTATAATTCTTAACATCCTTCACACAAACAGGAACCCATTTCTTCACATTTATCAATAAAGCTAATGGCTTGGTAGCACCCAAAGGTGCTCTCAAGGAAACAAACCCTAGAGTTTGTTCGCAAGGAACAGCTGCCATTTTTTAGGTATTCAAGGACAAATGTTAAGTACGCTGATGGAGACACTGAACAAAGATTGGCCAGGTCTAAGGACCTGGTACTTGATTGCTCAACTGTCCCATAGCATTTAACAATTAAACCTCTGATTTGCTTCAAACCCAGGATGTTCTAACTTGCAGCCTCAGGCTTCCACGTACTGCTGTATGAACACCTACCTGGAGGATGCAGGGGAGGTGGAACAGAAGTAACGGGTGGAGGAGGGTGGAGGAAGTGTGGTGGAGGTGGCCCAGCGAGCGGGGGAGGCGGTGGGCCTGCTGGTGGTGCAAACGGCTGTTGCTGAGGTGGCTGTTGGGGCTGTGATGGCTGCTGGGGCTGCTGTGGGGGTTGTGGCTTACTTCCATGGTCTCCAAGGACCTTAGAAGGCAGAGGAATGAGAAGAGAGCATTTTAATCTCTGCTCCTGCAGCTGGGACCTCACTGTGTTGGCATAAAGTAGGCATAGCACCAAAAGTGGCACTGTGATACCTGGAAAGACCGAGCTGTGCTATACTGGGGGGCAACCTCTTCTGAGGAGGAAGGAAGGGTGATCAAAGCACTCAATATGCTTAGCAAGGTATCTTCCCTTATGCAAAACAGCAGCGAGTCTAGATTCTAGCTGTATTCACAACTGTGCAGGACAGTTGACATTTCAGTGTTATGAACAACTTCTATTTACAGGAACTGCCACTGTTGGAAGCTTCAGATTAAAAACTGCCATATTTGAGGGTGACACAGTAGTGCTTTTTTCTTAAACTCAATTTATCTTTCCTGAAGGCAGCAAGAGGCCAAATTCTGCTCTAGATTATGCTCATGTAGGTCGAAGGAAGACTGGATTCACATTTGTCAGACAAGAGCAGGTCACCTACCCACTATTGCTGAAGGAATGATCAATACAGAGATACCAGAATGACCTGGAAATACAGATATCAATGCCTGTAAGTGGGAGGAACTACAACTATTTCCCAGCAAATTCTTTCTCTCAGGCAAACTCTTTTTTGGACCATTGTTGGCAAAATTTGGAAAACTGACCACTAAAAAAAATAAACAGACCACAAACACACATGTAAAAACAAAACCAGGAATTATGTCTAGACAGGGGAAAGGTTTCATATTTGGTTTGGTTGGGTTTTTTTTGTGAGTTAGGAGTGGTTGGTAAGAGAAAAGCAGTTAAGAGAAGTTCTTGGCAGATGGTCTTCAAACACTACACATCATGTAGCACCTTCCTACCTAGAAGCCAACCAGAACATTACGGTCACACACTGGACATGCAAGGTCAGAACTGTGTCCAGTTTTAAAGCCAGACTTTTATTTCTTATAAAGGACAAGATCCAGTAACAGAGGCCCACCCTAAGTCTGAAGTGTAGGCTGCATCTAATGATGCTTAGACCAAATGTTACTTCAAAGTAAAAACAAACACAAGCCCCAAGTAGGAGTCCTCCCCTGCAGAACTGGGGCTTCCAACCCGACAGTGAAGGGGAAGGGAATAATCCACGTAAGAGCCTCCCAGCTCACACCCCAATGAATACTGCAGGAGAGCTGATAAGAAAAGAAACTGGGGCCTTACCATTTAGGTGGGGAGGCTAGTCTTTAAAGGATGATCCCTAGCTCCTAGCAAGATAAAGCTTTTAACAACAGAAGTTAATTCAACCTGCAGAAGGGACTGATACATGCATACGCCTCACCTCAACAGGGCTCATGTACTAGCTACTGATTTGCAGTGACGTGAGAGGTCACGAATTCACTGACATTTGCACAGGGTTCACTAGAAGTGCAATAAAATCAGAAAATTGTCAAGACACTGCAAAACATTTACCTGGATTGGGTTTTCCTCGGAGGCATGCTTATCACGTCGTCTTCCTTCTACTCTCCGAATTGTGCCTGCCTGGCCACCAATCACATCAATTGTCCCACCCAGCTTCCTGGTACAAAGCAGATGCATCTTTTTAGGCAAAAAGACATGAGAAGGACCAGTTTTTCCCACTATTAGACAAATTCTCTTGTACATTCTTTTCCACCAGCAAACATCTCTAGAGGCAGCACTCACATCGGACAAGAGGTGAATGAGAAGCCCTTTTTCATTTTTTGAGCAATTGTAGCTCTTCTTGCAAAGGTAAGTTATGTCTCTCTGCCCAGAAACATGATCCAAAGAATCACCATGTACAGGTTAATAACACTGATTGCACACTCTGGTTCAGAGCTGAAATCCTTTACTCACTCTCCAGATTTGAATAATGATTCCCAGATCAGGCTCAGAGAAAGGAGAGAATATTTATCAGAAGCCTTTAATGTTATCAGCCCAGATTTTTCCTACTTTCTGTCCAATATTCCAAGTGTTGCTGATAACACTGAGCTATTTACAGGTCAGATTCTCAGACACTTTCTAGCTCACCTCCCTGAGGTCTACTCTATTTCTATTAAAGTCAAAAGTTTTGCCACTGCCTTCAATGAAGTTAAGGCTAGATCCTTGAAAAAAAAAAACCACAACACATCAATGTAGCCAAGAAACCGTGCTGTCTATGCACCAGTGGAAATCAGTCACAGAACCTACAATTTTCCATGTTCTTTTATCTCCATACCCAGGTCACTCTTAGGGGGAGAACATTTTTATAGGAGCTCGTTGTAACGTCACAAGTAAAGGTTTGTCAGAGAGAGAAGCGCTCACAAGTGAGTTTAAGAATCCCTCATCCTATATTCATGCAACAATTGATTTGTGCAAGTATGGCCTTAGACATGCCTTTCTAAAGTTAAGACAGGAAAATGTCAGCAATTTTCCAAGTCAGATGGCAGAATTTTCTCAGTAGGAAAAAAGTGGTTATAAAAATGCTTGCTAGTTGGAGAGAAAGTTCACAGTTCTCTCATTGAAGTCTGCTCACTTTAAGAAAAAAAACCCAAACAACTCATTACTAAGACCATGGTTCTGATGCTACTACAGTGTATGAAGATACTTGTTCTGGTCCTGACCAAAAGCTCTGCTACAGGAACAGAATCTTCTGTGTCAGTATTTTCAAAACCAGACTGCAAGTTAAAATGGACAAAAATACTGTATAGTTACAATAGCATCAGCTTATCTTGCGGTGGTGTAAATTTTCAAAAACATCATGAGATACGCTAAGAAATGGAAACAAACCTGATTGCATTTGATGCACTATGAAGGGGGGCAGAAATGCTACCAAAGTGCTTATATGTAAACAGACAAACGAGAGTTTTAAAGCTTAAACCTGAAGCACATACTTGTTTCCCAGAAAAATTGGAAAGTTGGAATGCAAGACTGATTTCTGCAAAACAGGTGTGCAAAAGATGTAATGTGAATAAAGTGATAGAAACATCCAGATCCCAAAAGTCTGGCTCTTCTGGTTTCACATAGCTTTGTTTTTCTGAAGCTTTTGATAAAAACTCATCAACCTCATAAATCAAAGCAGTTTTCCCAGCAGTGGCTGCCAATCAAAACGACTCAACTGTTTTGCTTTGTCCAGCCTTGCGGATCCTCTTTCTCATTGGAGAGAATAACTAATCAGCACACATCGAGAAGTGTAGCATACAGGTTCAGAAACCAATAGCTCCTCTTATCAGCTGCCAAACATGTAATCCACTTCCACTTAAGGAGGCAAAGATTAACATCGTGGGAGTAAGAATAAGCCAAGTAAGCACAAGCAGTCAGCAGTATAAACCCTGAAAGCTGAGGTATTTGCCTTGGTTTTTTTCACTCCCAGAAATGTGTCCCTTCAGCTGCGAGACAGGTTTCCCTCTCTGTGTGGCACTATACTGACAATATTGCCAAGAGACAGAAATGTGTAGGTAGGGGTTGCACAACCCCCAGGAGGGCACCGCTGAAGACGATCTTTAATGAGTGACCACAGTGGCTTCCTATAAAGTTTAAAAGCTTCTTCTGTTTCAAGCTTGAGGAGATTCAGATGTGGCCCAGGTGGATCCCAGCTACTCCTATGAAGAACATCGTGCACCCAGGCTTTATGTCTGCATCATCTCTTACCTATTAGGAGGTGGCCCAGCCTTCATGCGTCCTCCCACCAGAGCCAAGAAGTCTGTTTTGAATTCTGTTTTGATTATGTTGTTTTCCACTTCTTTTTCAGCATTTCCTGTTCTTCCTTGCTGAACCTATGGAAGGCAATATGTAACACACAGGTTTGATGCCCTTACTTTCAACTGAATGTAGCAAGAGAGATTAGCCCTCAGCAAAGGAAAAGAGCTCCCTTGAGAAACAATCACAGGGCTCTTGCAAACAAACAACCTATTCTCCAGTCAAGGCAACAGACACTTCTGTAAACTGCTGTCCACTCTCTCCTGTCAGAAGTCCAGAAGTCTCACATCCTTTTTCATGTAGTCCTTAACTCAAAATTGGAAGTAACAATACTTGCTGTATTGACTCTTTGGCTGAAGTTCTGATTAACAGATGTTGGCCATCTGGTAGACTTCTGATGGTCAAAGCAGTCTCCAAACACAAAAGGCAGCCACACAATTGTAACAGTCAACAGCAACAAGCAAAACAGTCCTGGATGCCCAGCTCCCCTCTCTACACCTCTCACATCCACAGGATCTTCCAACCAGACCCCCCTATAGCTGGGCAGCCTCACAGTCAACTGGAAATTCACTTGCTACTGTAGTGGCTCAGCCCTGCTAGGCAGCTGGAACTGTTTGCTCCATAGAGAAAAGATTTTTTGTAAAGAAATCTAATCTTTAAAGATTGTATTTCTCATCACTGAAAGGAACACAGAACAGTTAAAGTACTTTCTGCTCTTATACTCTCATCTATGTGATTACAAAAACAAGTCCCAGTTTTATGGTAGCCATATGCAGGAGTAATGTCCCCTACCGTGATCTTATTTTCAGTGCTGATGGGAGGAGCAGGATCCAGCCCAAGCTGAAGCCGTCGCTGCTTTTCACAATAAGCTTTCCATGTTTCTTCATTGAATCCATAATTAAAGTAATCAGAAAGATCAGCACCTGACAAAGGGAGTAGCAGTTAACACCAGGATTCAAGCAGACTTGCATTCTCAAATTGTCCTTTAACTGCTTAAATGAAGAGTTAAGAAAACAAAAATCTTCTAGAGAGCACAGCTTACTCTCCATTTCATTTTGTCAGAAAGTTGCTGTGTACCACAGTGAAGATGGCTGCATCTTTCAGTGGGAGGGGGACTACAGCCTGAACAGCAGTGGGACAGTTTGGGACATAAAATACAGCACGTATGCAGGCTATTAAAAGCGATGGTTGCAAGCATTTATTCACCAACTGGATTTTTTCAGAGTGGTATCTTACAATTGTCCAAATGAGCCGAGTCCTGGGGAGAGCACAGGAATGACAGTTCCAGCTACCACCACAAAAATGGCATGATGCCACAGACCATTTTTCTTGGCAGAGCTAAGCCAACACATTCCGCTCCTGACCATCACTACCTTTGCTGTTTCGAGAAGAGATTCTGGGACTCACCCATTTTGTGAAACAGGGCTAAAGTGGAAGTTTTTTATTGATACATCTCAGACCACACAAGTAATTACAGTTCAGTCATGATCCTAACTACAGCCTCCCAAGATTATCTTTCTTGACAGTCTTCTGTGAAAAGTGTCAATTCAGCATGAGCACTTCTGAGTAAGAGAGGTGGCCACAAACTGCTTGCCAAGAAAATGTAGATGCAGAGGGACAAACAGCTGCAACTAACTCTTTAGGGCATACCTCATAACTGGAAGCACTACAAAGCAACTCCGAGCCCTGCTGAGGCATCCCTCAAACATCTCTCTCGCAAAGGTATTCCTAGACAGATCAATTCTAAAACAAGGAGCCAATACATAAGGGCTAAGCAAAGGACTTTGACCATGCTGAGCTTGGATCTATACAACAAGGTTTAAGTTTATCTTCTAGGTAGGTCGCCCTTCCTGTTGTACCACCCAAATATGCAGATTGCACCAACACAGACTCAGCAACATGACATCTACATTATCTGTTTTATCAGCCTATATTTCAGCCCTCTATCAGTTCTTCCACACCATATTTCTTCTTCCTCTCACTCACTTAGACACCAACTTGTGAACAATTAAAAGGATATAAACCTGAAAGGCTGTTGAGTAACAAGCTACTTGTCCTCTAAAATAAACTCACAGGTTATGAGCCTCTCCCGACACCTTCCTTCTATATGTACTTCAACACTGTTTTAAGGCTATCTGGCTTCATTTTGGTCCAGGGATGTCAGCATGACCACAACAATTTCCATGCTTCATCTCTGAACTTCACTTCATTGTTTCCTTCTAACTTATTTTCTTCCTAGCCCACTTTCTCACTTCACAATCAACAGAAAATCCCCTGCAGAAGAAAGGCTTAAGTTTTCTGTTACATCTGTACTTATTCATCACAGAGTGATTCAGTGCTGGTCTGATACCATGACACATCAATTTAATTATCAGCACTGTTATGTACTCAGATGCCCTTCATTTCAGGTTGGCAAGAGGTACCAAAACCACACCACAGACCACCTTATAAAAGCACTACTTACTTTGCACAGCAATATTTCTGAAAGATAAATAAAGTACAGGTGCTGGTGGGGAAAAGAATTATTTCTGAGAAGAGGCAAGTGGATTTTTTGCTTCAGTTAACATTTCCATCATAGCACGTTTTACAAGTGTAGCACAGCAGATTTGGATCTCTTGGGTTCCTTCATTTACTTCCATATCAAAGTCAAATGAAAACCAGAAGTTTATTTGTAGCATCCTACAGCTGTCACACAAGAGTCGCTTCAGCGTAGAAATCTCCCCAACACTAATCAGGAAGACAAAAGAGCCCATATACATTTTAAAACATGCTGTGCAAAGTACTATTTGTCTCGACACAGTCTAGATAATATCGTCCAGAAGAAATAAGTGGGGACTGCTCACTCACAGTTACACACCTAAGGGCAGAATCTAGCAAAGAATTAGGCAATGCAGCTTTTCTAAAAGAAAAATCCCAGGCTTTCTTGTGAGAACAGACAGAGTTTTCTTTCCTTTTATTCAATTGTTTGCAGCAGGAGAGTTCAGCACAAGAAGATGGCTTTCCTATTGTGACACGGGTTCGCATGGTAACTCCCACCACCGCTGCCCTCTGCAAGGGGTACCTTCCCACAGAAACATGGACCCAAATGAGAAGAGTACATGGGGGTGACTGAGCTTGGCCATGGTGAGACAGAATAAGCAAGCTGCTGCACATGAAAAGGAGACCACACATCATCAACAGCCAAATCTTGATCCTACTCAATTGACTCTAAGGCAAACAAATGTTATTGTACTGATATCAGTGTAATATTTTCTGGAACTAGGGAATTAATAAAACAGAACATTAAAAAAAAAGTTGTTCCCCTTAGGAAAGTTAATAGAGTAAATGCAACCCCTTTTTAGGTAGAAGCATGGCTTCATCAATCATTAAATGTCACTGATTGTCTAGACAGGCATCAGAGGCTGAGCAATACATATTGTCCCAACTTCCCTGTTCCCTGGCAGCAATAAATGGACAGAAATTAAATGTGAAATTAAAGAGAGACAACTAAAACTGCAGAAAATATTTACCACAAGAAACTGTGAGGCCCCACCTGGTTTCCTCCACGGCTTATCTTCAAATGAATCTAAATCCACTTCAATAACAGGCAATCCATTTATATTCCCTGCAGCATCTAAGTCAATACCTTTGGGCTGCAGCTTGGCTTTGGAGAAAGAGAAACTGTTACTACTTTTAACGCGATGTCTTTAATCCACTAATTTGCTGAGTGAATTACTCCAGTCAAAAATAAAGCACTACTGTGAATTCATCTGACTTTATAGCACATAGGGAACGACAATCAATTTTTTAATAAAAATTATTTCAGTCATTCTATAAATAAACAGCCAGGGTGTACAGCCCTTGCAGTTGAACAGCAGAGAAGCAAATTCAACCCAGACTTGTACTACAGAGAAACACAGTAAATTGTTAGAGCATGCAAGAAATTTACCCCAATGAAAAACATTTATTTTTCTCCCCAGGCAAAATACTTATTTTTCCCTCCCAAGATACACACATTTTCTCATAAAAAGAAACTTTCAGTATCAGTCTAAGTGGACCGTGTACTAACTGGAGACAGTAAAAATCTGTCAGGTACAGAATCTTCAAGGGTAATTTGTTCTTATTTTCTCAATCAGAAGATAAGTCATTTGCAGAATGAAACTAATGGAAGGAGGCATATGAAGTCTATGAAAGCATGGTCTCACATGTGAAGAAGGACAGAATCCAAGTCTCAATATACAGTATAAACTAAACTGAATGGTGCGGAAGATTTCATCTGCAGAAATATGCACAGCGGATACTCAAGGCCAGTTTGTTTCTCTCAGTATCTTGCACTGCAAGTAGCTCAGTATACTGACCACAGAGTTAAAGTTCTTCTCTAGGCAATTAGACTGGCTCCAGTGCAACAATATAGTTTAGAAATATTCTGTTTTGGTTTGGATTTGTTTTGTTTTGGTTTGTTTTTTTTTCACTACAGAAGTAACAATCAATGTATTTTTTTTTCTAGTTTAAATAGAATAATAATCAGCTGATGCAGTGATGGGTAATTAAATCATTCCATTGCACACTGGACCCTCAGACTGTCCTAGGAGTGCTTATCTTTAGGAAACACACTTATTATTCCTACTTTAAAAAGCTGCACTAATTTTATATCCTTCCAAACTGAGACCAAGATTTGTAGCTGCTGCAACTGTCACTGCCAGATAAGTGAAATATTGCAAAAGGTGAAGGATAAAAATAACAGCAATACCTGAAGCAGATGCTCCATAGCCTCTACCCGTTTTTAAGTTTAGATTCATAGGAGTTCCCCTATATATGGAAAAGAATCACTACGTTGGTATTTGAACAAATTACTTGGTTGAAGATTTTCACACAAAATATATTCAAACCCTGACATCCTTTAGAAGACACTTAATTCACTTGGGTTTATTCATGCCTTGCTACAATTTTTGGTACTAAGTCTCAACACCTTAAAAATGAGATTCTTTCACCATGTAAGTTCCTCTAACCCTACAGAAACCCAGCAAACATACTTGCTGACCAACAACAGAAGAGAACACAAGAGAACTGTCTTGAACATGAAGGGAGAAGTTCTTTCAGAGAGTGGTAGTTACCATTCTGTCCAGAAACATACTTAGTAGTTAAATGGAACTGAAGAACATGGAAATAATAGCTGCACACAGATCACAGAATGAAGAGAGAAATGTAGAGGCAAATTTTGAAAAGGATGTCTGCACAATCTAGTGAGCTGTTAACAGATGGAGCATTGCTATTCAGAGTGATGCACTGAAACCACCTCTAAAAGAAAGAAATTATCCATGAAGTGGAAAAATTAGAATATGCTGCAAAGCACATGTAAGACATTCACTTTATAGAGAGGCTGTTAGCAGCAAGCAAAAACACTGCTTTATTATTTTTATTCAATGCAAATTATGTAGAATTTTAAGTCAGTGACATAATTTCCTGGTTTGCCAATCCAGCCTCACCATTTCTAAATCAATAAAAAACCCAGACAGCTGAAAAATCAGTAAATTCACAGTTTATGTAAATTCTTATCAATTCAGATTTTGGTTTTTGAAGTTTTCACAGATGATGAGTTAAATTTAACTTCCCACCATTGATTTTGCCTGATGAAGCACAGTAATTATTTGGTTAATTTTCCAACAGCAGACCCATGAATTATCATTCCTATTTTATAGACAGATTCTTCAACAAGCAACTGCAGGACAGAGCTGCCCATCAGCTTCTAATCCCATTTCAGGGTTCTAGCCATTACTCCCATGTCTCCTAGAAGACAGATCAGCTCTCATCCCCACTTTCAATCCCAAACAACATGCCAGAGCTACCTCAGATCACAAACTGACACCTTAACCAGCAATACATACATGTATGATGGTGCTCCTGTTTTAATGTTGCCAATAGTAACTTTCACATCATCGTCATCACTGTCGCTATCACTGTCATCTTCATCATCTTCACCACTTGGAAGGGCCTAGCAACAATGAAAGCACAAAGGAGGTCATTAATACATAAAACTGATAAATTCCCTGGGACAGTAAGCCAAATCTTACAAAGCTTGTATGATGGAAGCCTATTGGACAGAATGGTTCTGATATAAAGACATAACTTTCTACCGCACTCCAAGGATATACAAAGCTGTCTCTGGAGGCAAAAACCATGGAAGCACCCAGCCTTCAACATAAATGGATAGGTGCCCACAAAGAAACTGTTACGTCCTTTGAAGAAGTGACCCTACAAGAAAATCAAGATGAAATTTCTGAAAGTGGGGAAGATTTAGCTTGGTTCTAAGATTTTCATCATGTCCCACAGTTCCTCTCCCCTACACTTTTTGAAAGAGCAAGGGTTTACTGACACATCTCCTTCACCAGATCCATGGTGAAAGTATACAATCACAAATAAAAATCATGAAAATACATTCACGAAGCTTCATTTAGGAACCTTGAAGCAAATATACTCTCACCACGATTTCTGCAGTAGGAAGCTGCTGAGGAGCTCAGTTTGGCTTATTTGCCAGAATCAGTCCACAGCTCACTTAACTTTACAGCTGCCAATTCAACTCCAGTGACACGCCACTGCTGGGGCACAAAAGCAAAGGAAGCCTTCCAGATATCCAGCAGTGCAGTTGTGCAAGACGCACAAGCTGAATTAATACCTCACCACTACAAAAGAGCATGAGGAAGGTGTTCCTAACCCTCATTCCTTTTCCAGCGCACACAGGTTTGTCAGAACTGTGTGTGAGCCCTCTTGACAGACCACAGTGGCAGAAAACAAACCTGTAAAAAAGACTAGAGGAAGAGGGGTGTGGAGAAGCAAACTGCCTCCTCCTCCTCTTTCAACCCTGAGTCACTAGAATGAATTCTAGGTCTGAGCCCAAATCAAAAGTGATTCCCAGCACTTTGGGCTTTCTATCCCTGTGTTTCCAACTATTACTGACCCTCGAGAAGTCATGCTAAACATTGAGCTGGAGGTAACATCGTGTTCTGCTTTTCCTGCCAGACTGCAGCATCAAAGGCCCACATCTGTCTCTTGGGCAAGGATAAGCAGTACTTAGATGAGGGTTCACTACCCAGAGTAGGCTGTGAAGAGAAGCCTGTTGCTGTAGTCAGCATTGGGAATTGACTACCAGTACACTCCTACAACACAAACGTAATGTATTAGGCAGTACCAGCATCTTTACATTTACATCTTTTTATCTATGAGTATTGATAGGCACAAAAATAACTATGTCTACCATTTGCAGCAGAACACGTACGTGTTGTGACATCTCTCGGTCTTCATTGCTGACAGGCCGGTTCTCCTGAGGAGCATCTTGCAAAGGATGAGAAGATTCTGCATGTCTAGTAAATGTGACAGATAAAAGAAAGTGGAGAAACCCAATCTAGAGGTTCACCTATAAACATTTTTAAAGCATTCATCCAGGTGACTTTCATATAATGGCTTTATTCATGTACTGTGTTTATTCTGCTGGCAGTTAGCTCAACTATACAACAAAAAATTAATCATCCTTGCTTGGCTTTCCTTTCACTGGAAAGAACTAGTTTAGCACTTCCAGAGAGCGCCCAGCAAACAGCCAAACACCACTCAATAGCTAATATATGAGGCAGATGTAGTAGCTTTCAGCTTTGGTCCAGCACAACCACAACTGATAGGAATAAGACCATTAGAATCAAAATTTCACCTTGTCCTTAAGAATGCTAATAATTATACATATATTTAGTAAGCAGCAAGGGCATCTGTCCCGTAGAAATTAAGGAAAAAGTGATTTTAGTGTTTCTACAAATAGCTTACATTAACGAGTAGTTAAAATTCAAAGAAGAAAAGACAGATAATTATCCAGCTAATCTTCTCATTCATTACCAATTAGTCCTAATGCAACAACAGGCAGGTTCAGATTTATCTCCAATTAAAGAGTTCCTACAAATGTTAACATTGTTTATTGCATTAGCCAAGCAAGAAAGTCAAGTTGGTATACACATGCTAGAAAAGAGTATGATAAGTGTTACAAAACTAAAATACAAACAGAGATGATTTTTCTCTAATGTCATAGGTAAAACCTAGTAGAACTTCAAAATAATTCTGGCTTTTCAAAAGAGACCAGGCCCAGTCAACTCAATTCTCCACCAGTACTTTGTGGAGACATTGCTATTAAGTTAAAACCCGGTGTCGGATAATAAACATACACAAGATTTTCTTTAAAAGGAAATGTACGTAACACCTAACAGAATCCAAACACTGGTCAGATTAAAGCCATTTCAGAGGCAGCAGGAAAGGAGGCACCAAACAAGGAAGCCAAAAGATCACACTAACACAACTCAGAAAGCATTACTGAGCATAAAAAAAGACCAAACGAACAAGAACAATTTGAGCAGTTACTGAAGCTCCCATCTTAGAAAAGTCCCATATACAAAGAAATTCAACAATCAAGCCAAGATCAAAAAGAAGGGATGAAGGTTCAGCAGCTAACCAAGGAAGCATAGGTCCCATTTTTGCCAAGTTCCTGAGGTGACAGCTGAAGACACTTCAAGTTATAAAAAGCAGCCAAGATGTCTAGGGGAAAATCAGCCTCTCAAAGTATTTCAAAGCTGCAGACATAGGCTATTATATAAGGATCAAAAGAGGTACCACTGGAGAAAATCTCACAGATGGCTCTGAAACCTTTTGTCTGTCAGATCCAAGCAACTCATAACATTGACCTCAACCCCAGAATTTTAAGAATCCAAGATGACTGAATTAAGGAAGAGTGACAAGTATTACCTTCAGCTTCAAGTCACATGAAGTATCTGTGGGTGTGCATTAAAATTTATGAATTGGAGTTCAATAAACATTTACTAAGTAACAGTCATTCCCTAACCTGTTTGCTTCCCAGGAATGACCAATCTGACAGGTCCACAGCCATCATCTGCATGCAAAAAAATGTTGCAGCTATTTAATCTCTCCAGAATGCCAACATAACCCCGTGCACTGCCGATGTAACAGCATCCTGCACAGACTGCTGGTATTTAATGCATCCTTTAGGCTAAGGAATGATAACGGATACTGCATCCCAAACTACACTGATTTCTGCTTCATGGGTAGAGACAAGTACTCTAGACAAGCCAGTAATGTATCCCTGGAGCTGCAGCCTTTGACAATATAGCAAACAAAGAGTCATTTTTCTTAAACCACCCCACAGCTCTTCATTTAGAAAGACTCTCATTGTGCAACAAAGAAAATTTAAAAAAAAGGAGGAAAATAAAGGAGAGCTAGCATGACCACTAATACTTTTCCTTCACACATCTTGCAGTTATTGGAGACAGCTGCTGGAAATTCAAACTTTTAATTCTGCTTATAAAGTAAAATTACATTCAGATAAAAGTAGCAAGGAACAACAGAAATTTACTGCTAACTTGTTTAAACCTATCTAAACTAAAAGTTGTTTATTCTCTCAAAGCTCATTTGATGTTTTTAGGTACCAATTTACCAATTCTGCCTAAAACTTGTTTTTGAAAAGCTTTCATATTCCCTAAGCACAGGATACTTACTACAGAAGTAGGACAGTATCCGTACCAAACTCAGAACTTCCAGATACTGAATACACAATTACTTTAAAGGACAATAAATAATAAGTTGAACCTTTGAAGGTGCTGAGCACAGCTAAGTCCAGTGAAGATCAAGTCTTCTGGAAACCATGTTACATTTAAAAACAGCAAATAGATAATACTTCTGCTGAAAGAAAACTCTTCTGGTGCAAAACACGCTGCTACAAATATAGTGCAGTTATGATCAAGGACAGACAATACTTTCCATACACAGAAAGCAAAACTGATCATTGAGTTATCCCCAGTGTTTTTATCTGAAAGTCTTACCCAAACCACTGCTTCATAGATTTCAGGTAATTTCCTCATGCCAAGATTTTAATCTAGGTTCAAGGTTTTTAGCTTTTCCAGGCTAAAGCACAGGCCACAGTTTTACCAATGCCAGGCCAGCACAAAGGCTGACCCTTTTTCCAAGGAAATTAAAGTGGAAAACAGATCTTATTTGAAACTAATTGAGGAGGGTGAAATAAGGGGTTAAAAGTTGGTTTTAAGTCAAATCAGTTGCCTCATCCAGTTCACCTTCCAAATCCATAAATGTTGTGCCAGTCCAAGTGTGGTGGCTGGGGATGACCCCATGGGATGGGAAAAGAAGCTGCTGTTTCTGGCAACAGTGATGGCCTAAAGCATTCATGAAGCTATGCTTAACACAGCTTCATCTTCTTTGCAGTATGTATTATATGCAGTATAATGAATAAACAGCCTCTGGACTCACCCAGAAATTGGTCCATCTTCTTGCTTACCAGTGGTGTCATCTGCAAATACAATAATAAAAAATTATTCAAGTGAAAGAAAAAATGCTAAATCTAAACATAAAATGTGTTGCAGCTACAGAAACACCTAGTAGTGCCAGAGCACTATAACCCAAATGTTCTCTTTTCAGAGTTCAACTAGAAATGGAGCAACTAAAAAAAAACCAACCCAAACAAAACCTATCTGCAGATGTGAAGTCTCACACCACAGCAACATACCACAGTATTACACATTCAAAATACATATCCAAAGCAGGACTCCGAGCAGGAGTAAAGGCAAACATCATGTAAGTAACTGCAGTCAACTATGAAGATCTTTATAAAGACTTTTAACATGCTAGGGAAGAATGATGGGAAGTCTACGGAGGACGAAGACGTTTAAATAAAGTCCTATACTTTTTCGTAGACACACACACACACACCCCCCAGTTGCCTCTTAACCCAGAGGTTCACCTGCATCAATGAGATTAATAAAATTAGGATGATTAGGAAACTGAAAGTGCAACAAAGCATCACGTTAACCTCTTTGCAACACGGCGTTATTGTTAAAAGGACAATAACACAACCACACACGCCCCCCCAAACCCCAAAACCAGAGCAACTGAAGCGCCTGGCCCCAGAGGGAGGCTCGCCCGGGGGGCAAATAGGGACCTCCCATCCCCCCATCGCGGGGAAGGCCCGTCAGGCGGGGTCGGTGGAGGTGCTGGGGGACGGCCGGGTGCTTTGCGTTGCCCCCCACCCCGGGCCGGGGCGAGGCCTGGCTGCGCGGCCGGGGGCGGTGGTACCTACCCCCGTAGAGCCAGTGCTCCTCA